AAAACAGCTGAAATTAAATGCTTTCCATCTATTCTAAGTCCAAACATTTACCAATTCTCATTCTCCTCCCAAGAACTTTACCAATATCAACATCATTACATATTTGCTGATTCAGCCTTTTGGTCTGAAACACATGAAACTGAACCAGTTAAAATATTCTGCAATATTCTGGCAACCATGTTTGAATAAAAATTTTTAGCTACGCATATGTCTGTCCCAGGTGAGACAACATATGAGGTATAGATAAAAATACATAAGAAATTCAACTAATGAAATCTATTTAATAGCAGAAGTAATGAGAAAAGATTAAAAGCCAGTTGATGGATAAAAAAAATGCAAATATGGCCAGCAAGGAGGGTGGCTAAAGAGAGATGAGAAGCATATTAAGGAAGTTCTATTATTCAGAGCAAAACCAGGTTCTTAAAATACTGTTATTTACTGCATCCAGCATCTGCTGTCCTTACTAGACATTGTATTTTTAACAGGTATGTTTAGTATAGGCTGATGTGCAAGTACACACAGATTAAGTACTTATTTTAGAGTAGGCTTTTAATGCTCGTTCTGATGCCCCTTGTGATACAGGAAATTATTCTAAGATATTTTCCCAGCTTGAGTCGTTCTATAATTGTCTCCTGCATGTAAAATGAGTACTGCACAGCAACGAGGAAAAGAAGGTGGGAACTGTTCCTATGCGAGTAAGTAAAAACATCACCATCGTATTTGGCAAATATGGATGACAGCCAGTACTTACCACACTGCTAATGAAAGTAAGTCTGCCTAGCTGAAAAATGAAGATAGACTTCAAGGTCACACATGAGTTGGAGCAAGAAGAATGTGAAACAGAAGTGGGAGAGTCTACATCTACAATAACGTTTGATTTATAGTTCCAAGCAAACACACAAGGAGAGATCACCTGCTACCAGCTTCTGCACAGTTGGCTTGTTCACATTTGAAACAGGTATTGGGTACACTGGCTGCAAGGTTATTCTGCACTGTGAGCTTTTGAAAGGGTTTTTGGGTTTTTTTTAATACTAGGGACTATTAGGTCTGCTACTGAAGATGACCTTCGTAAAGAGTGGTGGCCTTTGAGCAAAGCAGCAGCAGCAGCACATTGCATCTGAAGTGTCTGTTGTGACATTTTAAATTGTACAGGATATAATGCAGAAAAAAGGAAAAAAACCCACAACAAATGAACCAACTAACCAGCCATCTCCAACTTTGAAACCTGAACTAGGACAAATAAATCACAATTGTCAAATACTAAAGAATTGGTAGTGTATTAAAAATAGTGAATCTATAAATAGTACCAGCACCAGTTAGAAACAACCCTCTTGGACCATATGGGGTCAACTGTAAAAAGCCACATTCAGTTGTGTTTAGAGTTCAGCAGATGGGGATACAAAATCTGCTAGCAAGTCTGTGTTCTGTAACACAGCTCAGCTTGATCTTGGTTACAAAAACTATAATGTTGAAGACTGGTAGACTCAATATAGATATAAAGAAGCTACAGAAAAATGCCATAAATTCTACTTTTCCTCTGCTGGTAGAAAGTGACATAAGAAGCATTCAGGCCAGTAATCAAAACCACTGAAAACTGAGAAAAAAAGTTACGATTTTATAACAACTTACATGGCTACATAAGTGTTCAATTATTACACACAGCGAATATTATATCTTCATTACCAAACTAATTTAACCAGAGATTTAGCATATGCAGGTAAAGACAAAATAAGCATATAAAGCTAAGTCTTTCTATAGATGTATGTATTATAGTTGACTCAATTTTAGCACCCTTTGCTCTAGGGAGGCAGTGTGAAAAGAAGGGTTTTGCATTTCTATCAAGTTTCCAGAACTGGACTTTTCTTTCATGGTAGTGCATTTAAAATGTTCAGCTAGCTCTTATACCACAATTCCTCATTGTTAATAATCTGACTTTCATAATACTTTTATGCAAACAGGTTGTCATATTTAACAGACAAGCAAACAAAATCCAGAAAACACAGCTATTAAAAATGTCGGGTGTGCCCAATTGAAATATGCAGACCATGCAGGTTTCTTTTTTAGTAAATTGAATTTTTATAGCACTTAGTATGTTCTAAGCATAGCTCTAGCTAACCTGTAAATCCCAACATGGTAAAAGTTGCCTTACACATTGCATCAAGAAATAAAAAAAAAAAAAAAAAAAAAAAAAAAAAAAAAAAAAAAAAAATGCTTCCCAGTCATCTTCTGATCAAGATAAGGGAAATTTTGAAAATGAACCTCCCAAAACTACACTTTTACAGTGTCATTGGCACAAGGACTACACTCTGCACTCATCATTCCGTACTCTTCTGTTCTCTTTTGTCAGTGGGTGACCAAACTCATTTCAGGCCGGGGCAAGATCTGAGATGAGCTCAAAGAGCAGTGTTGAAACACAGAATATTGTTCCTCATTTGTTCTTCAAAGACTTTTACATGAACTTTGTGATGGATGAAAGACATTACTATCTGTCATTAGAAAGAAATTTAACCACAGTTTTGAAATTGAAAGGAATGCCCCATGTATCCAGGCGGGAGGGTGAAAGTTTGGGTCATTATGCACGGCTGCTGTTCAACTTTCTCACATACGTGTCCTCACCACAGGCTCGGGCTATGTGGCACCGCGCGTACACACACACACAAGTGACGTCACTGGCTGCTGCCGGGTGACGTGGCGTTGGAGAAGTGTACTAATGACGTCAGCAATTAAAGAGAGGAAACCGCATCTTTTACCCTGGATCCACACACGTACGCCAGCCATAGATCTAGCGATGTAACTTCACACATTGCTCTGGTGCCTCACCCGACACTCACAAAGCAGCCGCACACCAGTGCGCCGTGTCACAGCCATCGCCGGTATTGGTTTCTTTTACCTGGCGCCGTGACGGAATCCCCAGAACGGCCCAGCTACCCCCTTCCCTTGTCCCGGCACAGCCGCCCGGCCCGAGCACGGCAATCCCAGCACGGACCAGGCCCCCCTTCCCCTGTCCCGGCACAGCCACCCGACCCAGGGACGGCAATCCCAGCACGAACGGACCAGGCACCCCTTCCCCTGTCCCGGCACAGCCGCCCGGCCCGGGCACAGCAATCCCACCACGGACGCGGTCCCCCCCCGTCCCCTCCCCTGCCCGGCACAGCCGCCCGGCCCGGGCCCCCCCGGCAGGCGCCGGCCTTGACAATCCCAGCACGACCAGCACCTCCCCTGCCCCGGCACAGCGCCCGGCCCGGCCGGGGCCCCCCCCAGGCGCGGCCGCCCGGCACAGCCATTAGGCGGCGGCCTCGCGCGCCGCTCGGAGGGGCGGGCCCGGCGGGGCGGGGCGCGGGTGCGCGGGAAAGCGGCCGGCGCGAGCACGGACCCGGCGGCGCGGGCGAGGTTGGGTTGGGCCGCCCCGCCATGGCCGCGCTGCTCTGCGGGTCCCGCGTCGTGGCGGGCGTGCGACGAGGACAGCGATAGCGGACAGCGACGATGGCGGCTGGGACATTGGCATCATTGCGGCACGAGCCGCAGGTGGGGCCGAGTCTCCCTGCGCCTGGCGCCCGGCCACCCGGCCGGGCGGCCTCGGGGTGGGGGGCGGCCTCGGCTTGGCGGTGAGGGAGCCGAGCGCGGTGGGTCCCAGAGGGCGTGCGGCTGCTGCTTCCCACCAGGGAAGCCATTTCCCACCAGGGTGGTGTACCCTCAGTCCAGTAAATGAAACCTGAATTTCAAGGGCTTGTCTTATTACATAAGAACTTAATGTTTACTTAAAAGACTTGTCTCCCGTTTAGTAGCACACCTGAGTCCTTGTTTCAGCATGAGGGTAAATTTAAAAGTGACCTTTATTGCATCTAACAGGTGTGAGGTGTCTGTTAGTGTGAGGTGGAGGGAGATTCCGTGAGTGGTTTTAGGTGTTGGCTTATCTCGTGGCGGGAATTGGAAAATGGAAGTAACTGAATTCTTGCAGTACTCAGGCTGAAGATTGTAGCAGTGGATTAGGGATCTTGATCTTTAAATAGAGCTTCCTATCCAGAGATGTCCATTATTTGAAAATTGTTGGCTGAGCAGAGTGAAAATAGGGCTAAATTATTTTATTGGCTGTTTCTCACTTTTGGTTTTCTAGACACTTGGTAAAATCTTTACAAAAGTTTATGGAATGATGGGCTACAGTGTGCTGTGAAAATTGTATAACTCTGAGTTATAATGTTATGAGTTAAAAATTTATGAGAAAACAACTTTGTCTCATACTCACTTACGTCCATAAAGAAACTAGTGAATAATCCAATCGTTAGTGTATATAAGTGTTTTGTACAAATCTAAATAGCGCCAGCATCAATCTTCAGCTGCATCTGCAGCTTTGATAGAGAAAAATCTGTGATCCTTTTGAAAAGAACTTGAATTGGGCAACCATCTGATGTATAAACTAATCTTTTGGTGAGGGCATTTTTCAGCCAAATCATTAATGATGCAGCAACACAAATGCCAGCACAGGAGGAAGGGTAGCCCTTCACAGCAGTGGACTTGTGCTGTTTTAGGCCGGACAGATAGTCATTGAGCTCCCTTGACCCAATCTCAAACTTTCATGTCTGATAGTTATATTTTTTTAATGTTACACTTCACAATGTGTGACATGTACCAAAAAAAAGGTACAGAAATGCATTGCTAAGTTTTTCTAGTGCCATAAGATGAAAAAAAATCTTAATTGAAATCTAATACTGGTAAGAAAAACTGAGGGCAGCATAGGAGGATAGCAGGTCTGTTGAGAAAGAAGATATTTGCATTTTCAGAGAATGGAACCTTTCAGAAAAATTAATTTTAAAACTTAGGCTTTGCAGTACACCCCAAACAGATCTACAGAGATGGAAGAAGAAAAGTTATCTTCTTGCTCTTTCTCCGCTCCTGCACTCTGCACTTTCAGAGATCATTAGTGCTTTTATACTGAAATGAAGCTATATTGGTTTTGCCTTGAAACATGTTTTGACTTAACTTTTCCTTGTTTATCTAGCAGTTGGATCAAATGTTGCAGGCAGATAAGAATGAGGCTTTAAAGAAGGCTCTGTTTCGTGGTGATGTGTCTTTAATTGAAGAACTCTTAAACTCAGGTGAGGAAAGGCAGTTACAAAGTTAAATATTTTTAATTGATCATGGCAAGAATTCTAAAGTTTCTCCTTTCAAAATGACATGTTGAGTGCATGTAGGAATATGTGAATGTTTCCAATACAGGGTATAAACTCTTATTTTAAAGATTCAAATACTTTTTCAGTGACTCAGCATTCCATATTCCACCACATTCCTCCTAATTTATGTTTCTTTCATCAGTCAGAAGCCCTGAAAACTGAGAAAACTATAATGTGTGAACTATGAAATAAGATGTTTCTTTCTTTTCAGGTGCATCTTTAGCCTGCAAATATCAATTACAAACACTGAATTTGATGTGGGTTAAATTGAGGGGGAGAATTCAGTGGGTGGTCTTACTCTGGTGTTGAAGGTTGTATGGGACAGGGTGAGAAGGGGAGACTGGCTTTTTTTTTTTCTTAATGCTTCCCCAATTTGGAAATTCCTTTTGTTTTTTGTTTGTTGGTTGTTTGGTTGGGTTTTTTTTTTTGCCTCCACAGCACGGTTAAGTTTCTGGTATGTGCCCTCTGTGATACTGCTGTCCTGGCAACATCAACTGGACAAAGATTTTGCGATTCTGAAAGGTCTAACAGGCTTTATGTGGCATTTGTCACCAAAAAGTAGTTTGTTTTAATACCAAAAACCTTTCTTCCTGTTCAGTTACTCTGTATTTGTCTGTAATGTGTTTGTTAATCAGTGTTAGGTGGACTGGATCATTTATTGAAGCATCCAGGGCAGAAACTGCATAGCTGAGTTGACCTGCCTAGTGATAATTGTCAGCAAGTTCTGCTTCAGCAAGCAAGGAGAATATAGTACCCAAGAGCTTGTTCTCTGAGGAAAATCTGTCTTATGGCTGAAAGAAAGTAGTTTCTTAGTTAGCAATGGGGTTTTTTTCTGAGTTTTAAAACGATGACATTACTTGTCCTTTTAGAAGACTGCTGTTTCTCACTACGATGGGAAAATGGTGTTCTTTTTAAATGAAGTAAAACTGTTGCACAGACTGAAACAGAATAGGTGCAGTGTGAGTGTGAAATACATCTGTCTTGCTTTGAGAAAATATGTTCTTATTTATGGGTAGAGTTTTTGATGATGTCTATGCATCAGACTTCTTAGTTGTTTTGTTACAGCCCTCCATTTTCAATTGCTTGTATTGCAGTCAAACGTCATTAGTTCACTTTCTGTGTTGATGCCTGATATACAGTGAACAGTTGTGTGCTGCTAGAAGATAGGTATCTGTAAGAGCGTAAGGTCAGGCCAAAGATTCATGTAGTATACTTTCCTGTCTCCTGAAATGAACAGGGCAGTATCACAAAAGAATTTATAAAATGGGATCAACAGTAAATTTTGAGCCATCCAGTACTGTCCTGAAAAGCAGTAGAACACAATACTTCTCTATCAGGGAGGTCTTTCTGAAGAAAGGTGACATTGTCCTTCAGAGGATTGGTGCTCAGTCTGATTAAATCTTTGCCTCCAGAGTTGCCTTTAGTGTCTGTTCAGTAGAGCTTGTAGGAGACTCACTACCAGCACTCCACCAAACTGAGGGTTTGTGTTGGAAGTGGATTTCCTAGCAACCATTGGGGCCATTCTTTCAGGTAAAGGGAGAACATATCATCTTCTGGCTTGCTTAAATGTTGCTTTAAGGTCTTTGGTGCTGAGGCAGGTTTACAGAGCTCCTTTAGGAGACGGACAAGCACAATGTTTTCTTTCCTCACTCCTGTAAAACAGCAGCTTGTTAAGAACAAGTTTCTGAAGTATGGTGTCGCAAAAAGTAGTGCAAGCAAGTAGCAGGTTCAAAGATGACTTGAGCATTTTGATCCTGCTTTGGGATTAAAATACTTAACGCCATATAATTCATGTGTTTGATTTCCTAAAATGGAATTCAAAGTTATGATCTCATGATAGTTTAGGCCAATTAAAAATATAAGTACAGTCAAATTCTCTTTCCTGTTTTAATTCAACAGTTTGTTCCACTTATATCTTAGCATGAGTGCTGGAGTGCATTTCATCTTTTGTGGGCCAGTTTAGAGAATTAAAAGTACTAGTAAACTATGGGAGTGGGAGGGGACAGGGTGTGTGAGAATAATTCTTCAGCCAGTTTAGGACTTTGAGCCTTGAGTCAGGTAGGCAAGTCAGATCGTAGTTCTTTGGGCTTGCTAATCTTTTTGAATTTGAGGTTGCATTTTTCTGTATAAAAACAGTCATTCTACCATAATTATTAGCCACAGTCAACAAAGTATCTGAAAGGGATACCGGAGAAACTGTAGTAGTCACAAAAAGAATGCAGTTCTCCCTTTGCTGTTCTTTTGCTTCTCCATTATTCATACGCTTCACAGAGTTTCTGCTGTTGTAGAGCTTGTCTGAGGCCAGAACGTATTTCTACCCATTGCTGGTTAAAGAGGAAGATATTTATCTGCAACTCAGATTGTAAGAAAGCATGTTGTGTCTGGTTTCTCTCCTACTTATAATTTGTTATGTCATGTGACTGAAAATCTTCTCTGCTTATACCTACAAAGGAGCACAAAGAGGTAATGGCAGGTGGGGGAGCCCAAATAATAGCCTGGCCCAGCTCCTCCCAGGCCCATCGTGGAAGCTAATAGCCCATCACAGGCCCATCTTTACAGTCTCAGAGAAGCCCACCAGCAGGCAGGAACACAAATTACAGACTCAGAGGAAGGGACTCCCAGGGCTCTCATAGGACCCTTGCACCTGTGGGCCAAGTGCCTGTGGAGACAGGAGCGAGTGAAAGATGTGCCAGTCACAGGAGTTGGACCTGAGGTCAGAGGCCTATGTGTCTGTGATGCCAGCAGCTGGAGGAGGTAGATGGCAGAATGAGACTGTTGGCACTCTGTTCACAAGAGTGCTCTGGCTGCCTGTGTTGATCACTGTGGCCAGTGATGTATGTGTGTGCTGGCTGGGAATACATGCTCAGCATCAGTATGGGTTGAACATTGGGTTGTGGAGCTGTAGCAGGCTTGTTTCTCTCTGGCTGTTGAATCTGGCCTGATTTTTTTTGCTAAAAAGTGTTTTTTTCTGGGCTTCACTGTTGCCTTATAGGTTTTCTTAAGGGCCATTTTAAATGCTGAACTAATGCTGTTTACTTCAACAGCAGCTCGTGTAATGAGAGTAATAACATGTCTGAGTAGTCACCAAGGTGAGACATTTCTGGTTCAGTCATCAACTCCTATAACTATGCAGCCAAGAAGCAACATGGCTTACTGTTTCTGTTGTCCATTCTTTGTCTTCCTCTGGGAATTCCAGCTGTTTTGCATTATGACTTTCACACTGAGCGATACTTCAAGTCAGTCACTACAAAGATGGCAGGAGACCGTGCAGGACAAACAACATACCGTTGCCAAATAGACCATTCTAATTCTAGAACTTAAAAGGAGCACCAGCATCATGGCAGATACTGTCTGCTATATGAATTAAGAAAGCATTGAAGAAAATACCTTCTCAAGAATTTTGATAGGTCTCTCTATGCCTGCCAAATAGATCCTTTCTTGCTATTGTTCAGATATGTATTAAAATAAAAAAAGATACATATTAAAATAAAAGTAAAATAAAAAGCTCTAGATGTTACATAGACTGCTGACTGCTTTTCTTACGAGGAAAAGAGATTTCTTAAGGTTGACTGGGTGACACCTTTTTGGTATTTCTTACTATTGTTATTTAAGTGGGCTGTTGTATCAGAGTTGCTAAATTCTTGAAGTGACTTGTCTACAAGGAAGTTCAGATATGACTGCTAAGGGACACTTGCTGGCTCCCCTTATAGAACTTATGTGTGGGTTTCAACTGAATGTTTTGTATCTTGCACAGAAACTGGTGTGCTGTGGCACTAAGGACTGCAGCTGCTATGTACACATTACCAAGTAGATTTGATTGTAAATTCTGTGGCTTGCAGGTGTTAGAATGCTTCAACACGTGGCTTTTATTGATTGCTGCCTCTTTACTGATTGCTTCTACAATTCCAGTGATCTTAAACAGTTAAAGAATCAATCCAAAAGCAGTGACCTGTTAGTCTCTCAGCTTTAATGACTTTATATTGCTAGACTGAGCACATCTTTGGCATTGTACCAAGGCAGGGAAAGTAAATACACATTTTGCATGAAAAAGAAGGCATGTAGCTCAACTATCATACATTTCTTAGGACAGTTTTGGGGTTTTTTTCCAGAATTCTCTCTTCTAAAGAAGTATTTCTTATTACCTATAGTCACCATTGGACTAGTATGGAACCAGACGACGGAAACTGTTCTAGAGGACGTAATATTTGTTAAAGGATTGAAGGGAAGATGATTCCTATTATTGCAAAAATGCATAGAATTTTTTATTTGAAAGTTGTCAGTCTGGTACTTGGTTCTTTGTGAATTTGGAAGGGCTGGGCTGACTGGCAGGAACACTTCTAGCCATTTTAGCCATTCTGGCTATTACAAAGAGTAACAAACAATTCTGGTGATTGTCATTGAATCTTGCATAGTCTCCTATTTCTTCTTTTTATTGAGATAATATTTTGTTAGTGCTGAATGCAAGTCTGCCAGTTAACTGCCTTGCAGGACAGAGAATAAAAGGAGCCGTGAAGCAGGAAACCCTGGATGATATGATCTTAATTGCCTGACAAGCAATTTGCTTCCACAGCAGTCCTCTTGGCTTCACAAGAGTCAAAATTTTTCATTTTGATTGAAGAAAGCTATTGCACAGAAGTAGAGAAAACAATGATTCTGTGCACTTATGTGAAATTATTTTTGCAGCTAGATGTTTGGGATTTTTTAATGTAATCTTTCTGTGATAGTTAACTCCTTGAGTTGAGAACTGAACTTCACTGATGTCAGTTTTAAAAGTTGTTTTCTGGTTCTAAATAAAGATGTATTAAAGAAAATGCTGTAAGAGATTTCTCTTTCTAGAATAAAATGCAAACGGGGTGTAACCTTTGTAATGATACATATTGAGAGTAAAGTTTATAAAAAGCATGTTTATTGTGATGCAGTTTTATGATTTTAGTATCTCAACTTTGGACAGGCATCAGCATAGAAACTAGCTTTCAGTTTGGCTGGACTCCCCTGATGTGTGCTGCCAGCGTGGCCAACTTCGCAGTAGTGCGTCTTCTTCTGGACAGAGGTGCCAACGCATGTTTTGAAATAGGTAAGATGTGAGTGAAAAATACTGGCCAGTAATGCTCAGCACCAGACGTTGTCCCTATCCTTATTCTCTTGTTCACATATATAGGGGAAAAAAAAAAATCAAAGTTCACAGTGGAATTGGGACCTAGCCTACCTTTCACAGTTTTGAAGTAAAAGTAGTAGTTTTAAAATAAAAATTGTGCTCTTGGAACTGATCTGGAATTTGTTGATGGGTTTTCTTGTTCTTTCTTTCTCCATCCTGTTTTCTCCCCCACCGCCCAAGTTCAAGTGCTTTTTTAAAAAGTGTTTGGAAATACTTGTTCAAAAATTCTAGTATAAAGTTGTACAGGTAAAACTTCCTTTGTTTGATCCTGTTACAAAATATATACATGCAGAAACCAGATAGCATCCCAAACAACAGGAATAGCTTTCCAGTTCATGGGAAACTAATGTGGACTTCTCTAAAACTAGAGCGCAGTTTTACTATTAAGTGAAAACTGTTCTTTATTGTTTTACTAGATCACATTTTTCTGCAAGAATTCAGTGTGGCTTCTAAGTAATATCAGTTCCTCTGACAATTTTTATGGCTTAATAATAACTTTTTCTGACTTAAACTATGGTTATTTTCCTTCTCTTCCATTGTGTTGGAATATTTATCCCACAATACTGCCAAGTATGTAGAAGCAGTGATCATATTTTCCAGTAACTTGCCAATATTTGTAGTAATAGTAGACTGAAACGCAGATGGTACAAATCTGGCTCTGAAAATTTTCTATAACTTCTTAGCAGTTAATTAGAGTAGACTACCTGCACCAAAAGCAATCATACCTTCTTCTAATTACTGTCCTTATAGCCAGCTTCAGGGAACTTCCATGTGGCTGCCTACAGCTGTGGCTACCTACAGCTCACCTGTTCCTTGTTTATGGCTGTAGAGAGCTATAAATGGGGCAAAAACTGCTATGGGCAGTAGTTTAGAGTTTCCAGGTAACCGAATGCTTGGCATTTTTTCAGTGTGTGACTGTATTTGCTCAAAGTGGCACCTTGCTAGGATCAGGTTTCTTGGCTTGTTTCCCTGTTATACTGTGTAGGGAAACAGTAACTAGGGCATATGGACACCAGAGTACTGTCCAGCCAGGAGCAGTCTTGTTAGTCATTGGTCTGGGTCAGAACATGTGTTCAGTAAAGCTATGCCATCCTAAAATGGTACTAAATCTCACCAGTCTTGCTGCTATTTTTTACATCAGCAGGCAATCACATAAGTGATCCTATAATAATTATCCTTTAATGCTTATAGTCCTAATAACAGCTATACTGTTAATCACCTTTAGTTGCTCTTCAGTCATTCTTTGTAAGTGGTTACTTAATTTTACCCTTTTTGGTAGTTGTGAAGAACAAGGAACTAATATGTCATTTACTATGTGATGGGTTCAAGATGTTGCATCCTTGAGGAATAATTTCACTGGATTTTCGGGGTTTTTCAGCTAGGGTGAACATAAACTTATATTTTTTGCAGTATTTTAGCAGTTTTTATCTGCAAAAGAGAAGCCTAAGAGTTCTAAGGTGTTATTTCCCTTTCTCTTGCTCACATGTGTGAGCTTTAGGTATGTGAACAGAAAGCAGTTTCCCACTCTCTTTCACTACCTGAAATACTGAAAACAAGTATAACTACAGGTTCCATCTATATGTCATTCCCAGATTAGTGGTGTTTATCACTACTTTTGTTTGAAGTCCTGACATCTTACCATTCAGGTTCTGGTTGATAACCAGGTTAAACATTTTGAGTAAAAATTTTTTACTGCATCAAGTAATAATTTCTACGTGAGGTAATTGAAAATTAAAAGATGGTGTATTAAAGAACCAAATGAATTTAAATGCAGAACTAAGTTGGGGAGGTGAGGGACAAGAAGTGGTGAGAAATAGAGCAGAGGGGGTAGAGTACATAACAAACTTTTCACGTTTAAATACAATGAAGTCTGACCTCAGTTGAAGAATAAAGATGTTAATTATACACAGCCTTAAAATTTCTACAAGAAAATTAGAAAATATGTTGTAACACTTGATGATGTGGTCTGAAGTAGGTACAGCTAATATACTTGTTAAAACAAATTGTTGAAGGCATGTTTGAACTTGTGAACAAGTTTGTGCAGTAAGCAAAATGGGCAGTTATTCAGATGGCAGTCTTCTAAATAACACCGGGGCCAACTAACTTGCTAGGGTCCTCAAGGTGTTACACTTCCCACACCTCTCTAGGTGAACCACGGGAAAGGAGATCTCCTGTGTTCTGTGGGCAGGCAGCAATGGTCTACAATTTTGATCTGTGAGCAAAGGTGACATGTAACACCTAGCTGGCTTCAAAACTGGAGTAGCAAATAGCTGGTATTGTTATGGACTGTGTAGATGTTTTTTAGAATCTACGTCTAAAACAATACTTTTAATAGTCCTTCTACCACTACTGTACTGTAGTAACCTAATAAATTTAATTCCTCCTCCTTAAGACCTGTCATAAAGCTTTGTTCCTTCAGCTGTACGGCCCTCAGTTCTCCCCAAAATTGATGTTGCTATATGTTTATAATACATTTTCATGCACCTTTTTTTATCCATTGCAGTTAACTTCCTGTAAGCTGTTTCTTCCTTAAACTGGAGGGGAGGAACGGGGAGTGAATTGACTGGTGTGGAACGTGTTTTGAAAAACAAGCATCCACAGTTAAGCTCCTACTATAGTTATGGGGTATTTGCAAAGTGTTCTAAATTTCGGTAGGAATAGATGCTTTACTATTGTGATTCACTCTTGTCTTTCTGAGTATCTCAGGTGCCTTTGTTTTATCTGATAATTCCAGTGACTTTTACAGACAGGAACACAAGTTTCTTAGCCTTTTCTAAATATCTTAGAATATCAGAATCTGATTAACATCTCTAGCAAATATAAAGTCTTTTAAAGGAACTTCTGGATTAGCATGGTATTTATATTTACATGTGTAATTTTCTAACTGTAAATTTCCAAACAGATAAATACACTGTGCTGATGGCAGCATGTACTGCACAAGCTTCAGAGGAGAACATCTTGAAGACTGTAGAACTGCTTCTATCAAGGAATGCTGACCCTAACCTTACTTGCAGGTACCAAAAACCCCATGTCTGTGAATACAGCATAAAATATAATATTACTATACAGAGATGTGTTTATAGACATAGCTATTGTTGGTTAAGATGAGGTGTACATACTTTTTGTAATTTCACTGCTGTCTGTATAAGAAAAGATTAGTGCCCAGATACTTATATCTCCTAGTACAGTCATTAATCTGAATAAAGACTGTGATCAGTTTTATCAAATTGTAAGTTAAGTTCTTTAGCTGAACAAGATTTAAATTAAATCTTCAGTTGACTGAAGTGTAAAGGCGAGAAATATGTCTCTGCCTTTCCCAAATCATATTGCCTCTTCTTCAAAGGGATGTAAGTTAAGTCAGTTAATTCTTTATTTAAATTCATGTCCTCTTGAGCTTTTTGTGGATATCTAGCTATATTCCTTTAACAGACTGCCTCCTGTGGAAAAGAAAACTCTGTAAATAAGATACATTTACTCCACTGCAATCTGGAATAATCCATATTAAAAGGAGATTTAAACTTGTAAAAACAAGTAATAGCTTCTTTCTTCAATTACACCTTTGTGTCTCAGCAGTTTGAAGCAGTGTGTTGTGAGATGTCTGTAGTGCACAGTCTGATGCAGTGGTTCATTTTACATCAAAAATAAATAAATTCTGGGCTGGCCCAGGATAAACTCTGCTGCCTCTGTTGAAAAAAAAGAAAATACTGTTTGGGTCTACTGTTTTTTTGACTGGAATTTTTTTGTACTGCAACTCTTTTATCACATTACCTGGGATATACAGACTGAATAGCTCTCTAAAAAGAATAGAATTGAAGGCCCATTGGTTTTCATTGGTAGCATTCAATTACACGAGGCCCTGGACCTCACTGTGAGCATAGCACTGATAGACTAGGAGGAAACATAGTTGTGCTGATGTGCCACTGATGTCTGGTACCAAGTTTAAATGCCATTCTTTTATTCTTATCAGAGAGGCTAAAAATTGTTCATGAGAGAAGAGAAAGCTACAGCGTCTGAATTAATTACATATTGTTGTTGTCAGATAGCTGGGTGTTGGATTAAACATCCTGCTTTAAAAAATGAGGGAAGTCTTTGCATTATTAACTTTGTCTTGGGTGTTGAAAATCTAAGCCAAAGTGCAAAGCTGTAGGTTTACATTTGCTAAGGCCTTTGGCTAAACTTTGCTGGGAAAAAAAGTTTGGATGCTGACACAAGACATAGGAATTTTAAGGTCAAAACTTTATAAATAAACTTAGAGTATATTTTGCATTGTTGATCTTTATATACAAATATTTATTTACTCTCTCTTTGTTTTCCAAGACCTTGTGCTAATGTGAGTTATTCATGCATCCATCAGATAGTATTTAGTTGTGGTTTTTTCACTTTTGCAATAGTAGCCTTTCTCAAATGAAAAGATAAATTAAGTGACAATTAGAAATGTCATATTTGTGCCAAACAAAAGTAGAAGCTTGAAAAGTCCAGACCTCGACATCTGAATTCCTTGTGCTGCCTTTATGCCTTTCCAGTGCTTGACATCCGTGCATACCACTTTGTCATTAGGTCTGCTCAGGCAGCAGCTGCTGCTTCTCAGGGGCTTCTTCCTCCATTTCTGAAAGGGGTATGAAACACAATAAACTGGGTTATGTGCAGATAAGGGATCAAACAGCCCCTCTCTGTGGCACTGCAGTACCATTTCACCCATCTCATTAGAGCAAGCAGGATGTTCTGTAGGAGCCAACTGTCAGTGAATTGAGATTTAATATTAAGAGAGCATTCCCTGTGTGATCAGCCTACCACAGGTGTTAAGAACTAAGGTTCACACTATTTGGGTTTCTCAGTACTTAAGAACCAGAATGATTTAGGAAACTTTTCTTTTATCCACCATCAACTGGAATGTGTGTGAATGCAAAGCAGAATACTTAAATTTCATGTAAGGCAGAGTTTAATGTTCGTCCTTTCATTGTTGCACTGTCAGGGCAACCAGTAGGCTCTTCTATGTTATGTCATCTGGAGGTGATACACAGAAACTTCCTTTTTTTTTTTGGTCTAATTTCCTAAGTCTGTGTGGAGCAGGGAAGGACTAATGAGAAACAAACTGCAAATCTTTAAGCAGTCTTTTTTTTTAAAAACCTTTTTTTAAAACCTATGTGTTTTCTTAAAGTTACTCTGGTTTTATTAATGTTAAGTTAGAAATTCGATTTAGGCAAAATGAAAATGCATGACCAACTGATAAGTAAATTACTGCTGCTAGGATAACATGTCATAGGTTGTTTAGTAAATATGGATTTTAGTGACAGCATCCTCCAAGTTTTTGTTTACATAAAGCAGAGTTAAGGAATTGTAATGGCTTTGCCTGTAAGGAAAGTGTTTTGAGTTGATGTTTCATGCTAATAGTTGTTTGTTAGAAGAAGCTACAAGTAGTTAAATGACTGAAACCTCCTTTGTTTTGACATAAAGTCTTTGTCTCTTGTTCTGCATGGGATATGTGAAGGCTTGATTTTGTTTGTGAGCCATTTTTTCCCCTCACTTTTAATGTTTCTGGCACAATTGAGTCCTAGACAATGAACAAGCCTGTCTTCAGTGTTTCTACTCTAAAATGGTTACAAATTTTGTGTACATTTAGAGGAAAGTCTTCAGAAAGTCTTGTGATTGTTTTTTTCCTTTTTTTTTTTTAGGGTGAGTATTAGAAGAACTAAACCTTTTGTCTCTTGTAATTGTGTGCAGATTAAAAGTTGAGCTTGAAGTGTGCTGTCATGTACATGAATGCATATACATGAAAAGTATAATTACTTCTTAGGTCTGGTATTAAGTTGCCTGTATATGTTCACTTGTGCCTCCACTTAGAGCAGTTCTAGGGAGTATCAAAAATGGTTTGATTCTTAAAATTTTGGTCTATTTTGCCCTCTTGGGAAGATGGTAATGGAGGGGGAAATTTTCATCGCAGTATTGCTCAGTTCACAAGATAGGTCTTCAGGTTGCATAGTCAGAACAAAGCACTTGTGTAACACCTCAATTTCAGCAAGATATATATTGCTACTGATAAGACAGTAAATTTGCACTGCCACATAATTTCAAAGATGTTGACACTATCATTGTGTGATAGACAAACAGTACATTTCAATAAAAGTAAATAGCCTGGGAAAAGTTAATGCACTATGGTGCATTCCATGTATGGGGCAAGAAAATGAGAGAATTTCATACTATTGAGTCAAAATCTTTGATCCAGCTCAGAGCAGAAAGTACCTTGTGATGTTATACTCTGTTACAGTCTGTGCCTTTGAGAGAGTTTTTTATTCTAGCACTGTGAACTCAGGATAGAAAGACTTTTATTTTGTTGGTCAAACGTCAGGACAGAGGGTCTAAATATAAGAAATGAGATGCAAAATTACATTTACCAAAGTACTGTGTTCATCTGGGATATGTCCATGCATCTCTTCCTTCCTTCTGAGTTAGGGAGAAGTCAAAAGTGTGGTAAATGTGTGAGTTCTGAGTTTGGCAGAGTACGTAACTTCTGAACGTAAGTATTGCGTCTTGTTCATCAGAGGAACCTAGACACCAAAATAAGTGATTGTATTTTTCCCAGCTAGTAATGACTGTATGGCCAGGCTTAAAACTGTGGATCACAGTTTCTGAGCAGAGGTATAAAACACTCAGGGACAGTAGGGAAATGAAAAGCTATTTTTCACAGAGGCATTCTGACAGTGTACTGTGGTGTCTTGAAGGTAAAGGTACTCACCTGAGCAGCTTTAGAGTAAATAGAAATAAAACCTGTCCTGAAATCCATTAGCATTCTATCCCCAAGTATGTTAAACTTCCTGTCATTGCTGCTACCTTACCCTGATGATGTGCTATTTGCATAGGATTGGTTTGGGTTTTTTACATGATAGAGAATTGTGCTTTCCTTAGAAAGGTGTAGTAGATTTCACATGTATGTGCTGGATTTCTTGACTACAGAGTTTACCCACATTTTGAAAGTAGAGTTGAAAAACAGTCTGAGAAGTTTTTATTTTGCAGGTAACTCATGTTTTTCTGTTTTATGTTTAAGTGTATGTGTTTTTATATTTAAGTGAAAGTGTTTTTAGCTAAACCAGCTTGCCTGTAAAAATGTGACTGGAGTAAGGATGTAGGAGGACAGGAAGGATAACTGGGAATGTCACAGCATAGAGTTCTGCCATCCCCATTGTTAATTTTTATACTAATCCCTTTTATAATCACATCCTTTATATTTTTCTAGTCATATAAAGATAACTTTGTAGCTCTCTACCTTCCCACCTCTGTGTGCTGTAGAACTTACACAAGTGCCTTTTTTAATTTTGAAACAATCATGTAAACAGAGTTCAGACGCAGAAAAGTACAAGAACTGGCAAATTGAAATGAAGCCTAAAACTAGGGAATCTGAAACTAAGCTGTCACTTTTTCCAGCCCAATCTTTTTTCTAGAGCTGTATGTTCCCTTCTCCTAAAAAGGTCTACTTCAGGAAGGTAGAGGACTCTCCTACCTTGCTCTAGCAGACAGTGCCTGGAAAAAGTATCTTGTAGCCCACAATACACTGAAGTATTTTCTTCCAATACTACTTGTTGTATACAGTTCCCCACTTCCTCACTTAAATCCTAGTTAGCCAGAAAATGGGCAAATAGATTTTCTTCTGTTGCTGGGGACACACTGTTGCCACTGTTTCTCAGTTGAGGCTTAATATGCAGCACTGGAGTGGTGAAACTCCAAAAGCTTCTGAGGATGCTTTCTGGTTATCTGAAGCACTGTTCAGTTTGCAGCTCAGTAGTCCTGCGGCATCATTTCCTTGCTTTGGGATCTCCATAAGAAAAGACTGAGACTAAAGTCAGGGTTAAATTGTTTTCTGCCTGCTGTATTTTTTCTAATGTTATTGATACACTGATCTAGTTAATAAACATATATCCAGTTATGAGACTTGCAACTTTTCAAGGTCACCAACTGGAAATACTGAATTTTCTATAGATGTCTGCCAATAAACGGAAACCTGTGTGTAAATGGGAGATATCTCTTCTCCTCCCTCTTATGAAGTTTTCCAGGAAGATGAACTTTGTATTGCTTGAGAGCAAGATCCCAAACATAAGCATGTTTATTTGTCAAGTGCAGTGAATTCTGCACCACAGATTCAGTTTAGTAGCAGGTACTCAGGACATTTTTCAGTGAGATATCTTGCTGTCACTTTATCACCGTTTTTATTATGGCTCCTAGTTATCTAGGGTAGGAAGCTCCAGGGTGGTAGGCCGGTTCACACAGCTTGCTCTCTTGTGATAAAGTTTTGCCTCATTTTTTTGACAGGGTGAAGTGAGCCTGTAAGAACTTCTGGTTGTATCTTTGTGTACATGTCACTTGCAAAGTTTTGGATGGCCCTAGAAACTGCAAAAGCTTCTGGTTTTGTCTTTCTCCAGCCTTAACATAAAAGCAGGGAGAGTTAGAGAATGCCATGAAGCTGTGTCAGAGGACGTTTAAGTTGTATGTCAGGAAAAGATTCTTCACCCAGAGAGCGGTTGGTCACAACACTAAGCCTGAGAGTTTAAGAAGCACCTGGACAATGCTCTCAACCACATGGTGTGACTCTTGGGGTTGTCATGTTAGGGACAGGAGTTGGATTCTATGATCCTTGTGGATCATAGAATATTCTGTTATTCTAAAAATAAAAAAACAAAAATCTCTCTTCATTTGCATGAGACTTTTCTTTTTATTTAGGTGCTGAAAAACTGGAAGCGTAGTTGGAACAGGCATTATCCTTAATTAATCAGTTGCGCATATGCTTTTTAAGCTTTTATTTATTTATTTATTTACTGATTATGACTTGATTGTCATGTTCAATATGGGCAAATGTCACGTGGCAAATTGTGCCATACTTAACAGGTGTTTGGACAAGAAGGTCATCTGCAAGCCAGACTGGTGGAACATGGTGGTTCCTCAAAATGATGAAAGGATTCTTCAGCTCTTCTGTGTGGATGGTTATCACTACACTCTATGAACGTTTCTAGATTGCACTGAGATGTACCGATACATTTAATTTCTCTTCAACTTAAGCAGGAAACAGTGGATTTGCCCTGTTAAAGCTTGCTGTTTGCTTGAGGGGGGTTCTTTGCAGGATTGGGAAAACAGGGTTTGTTTTCTCTAATGCTCTCATCTCCCTCCTGTGGCCATACGTGTAAATGGACTCTGATTTCAGGGGGCGGCTCGCGGCACTCCCTCTGCATGTAGAGTTGTGAATTTGCACAGCACTGTGAGTGTTTCTATTCTGAAACAGCTTGTAGCCTTTGAAGTTAAAACTTGAACATTAAGATGGAATACTTGCAGTACTAATTGTGTATTCATGTTGTGGACCTTTTAAATGTCATGTTTACTGGGTTTTACTTGGAAATGGTGAAACTTTTTTGGTGGCTTTAATGTCATTGAGTTGTTGCCTTGATTTCAGATATCACATCTGCAGTACTGTGTAACTGTAACCATATCATATTCTTTGGAGAAAAGACTACTCTGTAGCTTCAGGACTTTTGTTCAGTATTTTCCTTTTGAAATAAGCAGAAGGTAATTATGAAGTAGCTGCAGTGTGCAAGTTCAAAAAAAAAAAAAAAGTTGAGAGCAGGAGAAATTAAAATGAAATCAGGCATGATTGGACTGGTTTCTTTTTTTAGTCAGATGTAAATACTTCGAAAGTCTGTCAAAGGCTACCCACCACTGAAAAGAAATGTGTGGGAGTGTCTGCATTAGAGAACAAGTTTGTTGCTACAAATTGTTAGGTTGTAATCAACTTCTCATTCTTTACAATATAGGTATTCACAGCGCGCTTGTAGCAAATGTGGGTAGAGCCCTTCCCAAATTTTTGTTCACGAAGCCTAGATGTCTGAAGATGTCTAGATATAGATATCTCAAGAGACATATAGAGACTGTGAGGTATAGCTATCTCATCAGTTAGTTATTAAGTTGCAGAGGCAGATTACAAAGTCTTTCTCTATTTTTATAATAATCTTCATAGGATTACAGGGTGATTCAGGCTGGAAGAGACTTCAGGAGGTTTCTAGTCCAGCTTCTTCCTTAAAGCTGCCTCTGCTAAGACACTGGGCTAGGTTGCCATCTGGTCTTGAAACTCGATATGGAGACTAAAAAACTTCCCTGAGCAACCAGTTCCACTGATTGACTGTACCCCATGGTAAAAATGTCTCCTCATATTCAGTCAAAACTGCTTTTGGAGGGTTGATGAACTAAATCGAATTAGTTCTAGACTGATGCAAATCTTTCTGCTTCATTACAAAGTTCCACTGTTTTGTTAACTGTATGTCTTGAAGGTCTGGTTACCTTTCATTTTACTTATCTCTGAGTAATCGACTTCTTTCCCTACTGTAAGGCTGTCTCAAATGTGCACAAACTGTGTTTGCATAAGACAATGCCTAACCAGTCTTCCAGTGAAAAAAAATTTCCCTAATATCTAAACTGAACCTTCTCTGGTGCAACTTCTGGGAACAGAAAACAAAAATGAGATAAAGGACAAAAATATTCTGATTGCATTTAGTTTTAGTACTTGAAAAGTTACAATCTTCAGTGTGGTCTTTGTATGTAATTGTCTGAAGACTCCTCTTGGGTGTACTCAGGGTGGGGGGGTCTTGGATGTTGACAATATGTGTGTAGCCTGTGCTATTGCACTGCACCTCTGCACAGTGGTGGTAAGACCTGTATGACCTGTGATTCTATTGCTTACACTGATTTTACCAGAGAGGGTTTTGGATTTATAAACATAGTTGGGTTTTTTTTAATATTCTTCCTCTTAAATATTCAGTTGTGATTTACAACTTGCCCTCCATGAAACTGCGTATTTTTTCCAAATTTAGGATTAAAATTAGACTGTATGTAGAACCCATCACTTAGGCTGTGTGTTTTAAAAATGAGAAATGGAAGTATGCCACTGTTTTGTTAATTGAAGGGGAAAGAGATGATTTGCTGATTTTTCTCTGCTTTTAGTAGGGTGAAAACTGTGATCTGCAATTATGTTCATTCTCTTCTCATTAAGCTGACCTATGTGCTAAATGAGAGACCTGCTGCTTCTGGGTCTGTGGTAGCAGCAGGAAGGATGGTTTTTAAAAACTGGTTTTGTGTAGTTCAGAACCAGAACAGAAATGGTTTTAGTCACCAAGCTACAGTGTTTCATAGCTGGGACATGTTAAGGTTATTTGTGTGTTAATGTGCTAATGGAATTTGCAGGTGATAAAACATTGATACAGGATTTTTTACTTGTTTCTCCCAGAAGTACTATATGTCTATATTCTAAACTCCTAGGAGAGACATGTTGAGTTTCGTCTAAGTTTCCTTCTTGACAAGTTGAGAGGCAATTGACCTCTTAACTTTGTTTTAGTCAGAAAATAAATGCAACCTCTTAAAATATTTAAAACTTGTTAATTCGTCATAAATGAGTTGCTGGCTCTGTATGTTCTGTTGACTCCTGTGCTGAAGCATGAATGTGGTGTCTTGGTCTTTCATCCTCTGTGTAGTTCTTCTGCAGAACAGAGAATCTTTATAGAACTGAGGTGCTCTACTTGATAATACAGTGGTATTTTGATATCTTGAAATACTTTTTTTTTCAGCTGACCTCTTTTTTCTTTCAGGAAAAAAATGACTGCACTGATGTATGCAGCTAGAAAAGGCTATGCTCGCGTTGTTGCTCTGCTTGTTGCTTGTGGATCACACATAAATGCCCAAGATGAAAATGGATATTCAGTAAGTGATTTACTTTTGTGTGTTGTAATTAATGATAAAAATTTTAAAAAGCAAGAACCTGCTAACTTGTTTCTAGGTACAACTTTCTCAGAAATACTCATTGGAATTTTCTGCTTTAACACCACTTTGAGATTCTTTTGCATTAATTGTCTTTGTCTCCAGATTGGGCCATGCTTTATTGATTGAACCTTTGTTGTTTTTTGCTCCATATGTAAATTTGGTGAAACAAAGTTGCTCTTTGCAGGCATTAATATGGGCAGCGCAGCATGGACATAGAAGTGTAATTTTGAAGTTGCTTGAGCTAGGAGCTGACAAAAATCTGCAGACTAAGGATGAAAAAACAGCAGCAGAGCTAGCAAAAATCAACAAACATACAGAGGTATTTAATTTCATTTTTTTTAGAAATGTAAATTTTGTGTTTTGATTCAAGAATCTGTTAATTATATAATTTTCTATAGAAGTGTTACTTTAATAATTACATTATAGCAGCTAGTTGAATACTTGTGCTGTTACATCTATATAGACAACTTTCTGTTATATCAAAGCTTTTCACAGTGCTGTAAAAGCTATAGAGTAGTGTTTTGGAAACGCTTTTTCTTTTTTCTTTATTCTTTCAGAATCCTTGACTTTAGATTTAGAATGCAAAACAAGGGATTATTCATGTTAGTAATGTTGATAAGAGAAGTATAAAAATGTGTTGTGTTTTATCTGTCTGCCAAAATATGTGAGAGAATGCAGATATCAAACTAATTTGCAGAGTATAGTTTCTGATTGAATTTGGAAGTGAAAAGGCTAAAGCTAAAAAGAAGGGGAGTTGGTACTGGCTATTTTCAAAATCTGTTCTTGGGAGGGAGGAAAGTGTAAAATAATGTAACTTGGTCATTGGATCATGGGGAGAGCAGTGTAGAGAGCTACTGACTTTTCTCCTAAAATAAATCTGTTTCTGCTGTTACCAGATGATACATGGTGGATCAGTGAGACCATATTTCTGTGTGTTTTGCCTTGAGTTGCTCTTACGAATGATGTGGCTTTTCACAGTGGCTCTTCAAAAATGTATAATTTACTCTTACAAATTGTAATTCACTTTAAAGCTTCTTTTTCTTACCTTTTTTTTTTCCTGCCACACTCCAAGGCTAGGCAGGAGCAAAAATGATAGCTATGCACAAAGCTGTCAGTGGAAGCTAGCACGATCTGTGTCTGAGGCTCAGTGATCTGTTAGCTCAGGTTACTGAAAGAGGTTACAAAAGCTTTCTGCCTTTGATAAACGACTTGTTCAGCAGGTTACGGCCATATAATCTTATAACATGACTTTCTGTGACATGGAGGGAATACAGGCTTCTCACACTTGAGAGGTGGGTCTTGCCTCTTGACCTGAAGTGCTGACTTTCAACAGTTGGTGCAAAGTCTTGCAGATGGTATTGAGATATTTAATGGTCATGAGCTTCTTCCAGCTTCAGGATCTGCTCTTCAGGCTATTGACAACTGAAAGGCCTGTCATACAGACTGTCTGCAGAAACTGTTTCTGGGAGGGGAAATATTTTTCATTTCTGTTATTCTGAATTTGACTGGGATGGAGTTATTTTTCTTCCAAACAGCCTATATGGTGCTGTGGTTTAGGACTGTGACCAAACCACCATTTGTAACACACTAGTGTCTTAGCTATTGCTGAGTGGTGCTTGTGCAGCATCAAGGCCTTCTCTGTTTCTCAGACTGCTCCCCATCTTCAGCAAGTAGGCTGCAAGTGAGCAAGAGGTTGGGAGTGGGCATAACCTTGAACTGCTAACTCCAGCTGACACAAGGGATACTCCATGCCCTATCACATGCTCAGTGATAACATTGGACACTGGCTGGGCATTTCTCTGATGGTGGGAGGTGGTCACTGCCTTTGCATCACTTAAGTTTTGGGGGTTTTCCCTCTTTACTTTTCAGACTGTGTTTATCTCAGCCCAAGAAAAGTTTTCTTACTCTTACCCTTGTGATTCTCTCCCATACTGCTGAACTGAGTAGAGACTTATCAGCCAAGATCAACCCACTGCACGTATGTGTGTATGTATATGAAACTGGCTAGTCACCTGAAGTTCAGGCAATGGGTTTCACCATTCCTTTAGGTTTATTGAGTTTCTACTTGTTTTGCTATTTTTCTACTTGTTTTTGCTTGTTTTTCTAGTGACTATCTTAAAACACAGGGGCAGTTCAGTTTCTGGAATCCATCACTGATGCATAGTGATGTCTAACAGAAGGCTGCTTCTTTAATCAGTTGAAAGAATCCCTGACTGTCAGATATAGTTAACTTAGATTGTCAGGTGTAAATTGATCAATGTTAGGTCTATATGGGCGGTGGAAATGGAGACATGAAAATAGTTGTATGCCCTGTGCCCTTAAGACAACTTATTGCCTTGAGTATATAGAACTCGTCTACAAACCACAAATATTAGTATGTTGGTGTTTGGCTACTTCTGTAGTGATGGATGCTGACTTTTTTAGACCACGTTACATTCACCATTTTGCTCTGTGTCAGTTCAGTGATGTGCTGGAATTTGATTAATTTGGAAATACTCTGTGGGTGTAGTCTTAACTTCTCATTATAGATGTATGCTTTAGAGAATAAGTGGCAGATGTTTCATATTCCCTGTAGATAGTAACTGGTTATAGAACTCTTTGTAGTCTTATTCCCATATATTTTTTTATGCATTTTGAGTTTGAATAACAATTAATTCATTTTGGCTCTTCCAGATTTTTAGTTTGCTCTCTTTGGCTGCAAATCATGTGCAAGGGAGATACCATAAAACAGTTGAGCAAGAGGCTATCTGCAAATTTCTGACAGCTGTCTCTGACCACAGAGTTGGGTAAATACAGTTATAGTGTAATTTTAGCATATAAACATTCCTAAGAGATTGTATTTGTTCATATCAATGATTAAGTTGTTCCTATATATATATATATATATATATATGTTATGAGCACTACCATGAGCCCATAGTAAGTATATTAATGTACTATTAATTTTTCAAGAATTATAAACAAAGAGCATGGTCTTGTTCTGTGCTTGTCTTCATTTGATGTTAAAATTTCGATGCTTTCACCAAATGCCGCTTTTCGGCTTCATGTCACCAGGAAGAGCTATGCCCTTTTCTTTTTTTTCTGCATATGAGTCAAAATTATGTATGAACACCAGTTGAGCTCTAGAAGTTTTGGCAGAGCATGCTGGTGACTGAAACTTGAAGGTGTCCTATGCCTGAAATCAGCCCCTGCTTCAGCAACTTCAAAGATCTCTGATACAATTTTATTCCAGAACATGTTGGCTAAGTCCTCAACAAACCATCTACTTGCTGCCTTCATCTTGAGTTGCATGGTCTTAGAAAGGCAGCTTCTGGAGCCCATAGTCTGTTCTGATGGGTCAGATTGCCCCTGCTCAGCCAGGTCGTGCTGAATTTGGAATGGCGTAGTTTTGTATCGTTAGGCTGATGGGTTGATGGCAGTTTGCAGGGTAGCAGTTCACATCAGACAGTACCTCAGTTCAGACAAAGCCTCACTGGGTTCTGTTGTTAGAATCATAGAATCATTAATGTTGGAAAAGAACTCCATTAAGTCCCAACTCTTGATCAAACACCACCATGTCAACTAAACCAATAGCACTAAGTGTCACAGCCAGTCATTTCTTGAACACATCCAGGGATGGTGACTCTGCCACATCCCTGGGCAGCCTCTTCCAATGCCTGACCACCCCTTCAGCAAAGAAGTTCTTCCTGATGTCCAATCTGAACCTCTCTTGTGTCAGCTTGAGGCCATTTCCTCTTGTCCTGTCTCTAGTTGCCTGGTAGAAGAGGCCAACCCCCACCTAGCCACAACCTCCTGTCAGGTAGTTGTAGAGAGCAGTAAGGTCTCCCCTGGGCCTCCTTTTCTCCAGACAAAACAAGTCCAGCTCCCTCAGCTGCTCCTTGCATGACTTGCTCTCTAGACCCTTCACCAGCTTTGTTGCCCTTCTCTGGACATGCTCCAGCACCTCAATGTCTTTGTAGCAGTGAGGGACCCAGAACTGGACACAACACTCGAAGTGTGGCCTCATCAGTGCCAAGATCAGAGGAACAATCACTTCCCTAGTCCTGCTGGCCACACTAGTATATGCCAGGATGCCATTGACCTTCTTAGCCACCCAGTCACACTGCTGCCTCATGTTTAGCTGTCTCTTGACCAGTACCCTGAAGTCCTTTTCCATTGGGACTCTTTGCAAACACTCTCCTCTCAGCCTGTAGCACTGCATGGGGGTGTTGTGACCAAAGGGCAAGACCCAGAACTTCTACAATTGGCCTCAACCCATTGATCCATCTTGTCCAGATGCCTCCTGCTCTCCAGCAGATCAACACTCCCACCCAACTTAGTGTCGTTTGTGAACTTACTGAGGGTGCCCTTCGTCCCGTTGTCCAGATCATCAATAAAGAAGTTAAAGAGGACTGGCCCCAATACTGAGGCCTGGGGAGCAGCACCAGTGACCAGCTGCCAGCTGGATGTAGCTCTATTCACCACCGCTCTGGGCCCAGCCATCCAGCCAGTTTTTAATGCAGCAAAGAGGGCACCTAGCCAAGCCATGAGCAGCAAGTTTCTCCAGGAGAATGATGTGGGAGATGGTATTGGAGGCTTTACTGAAGTCCAAGTAGATAACATCGACAACCTTTCCCTCATCCTGAAATGGTTGGTCATAAAAGGAGATCAGGTTGGTCTAGCAGGACCCACCTTTCCTTAACCCATGATCTCTGAGCCTGATCCCCTGGTTGTCATGTACGTGCTGTGTGATGGCACTCAAGATGCCCTTTCAATTTTTGAGGTGAAGAGGAGGCAGACCTTCATTTCAGGGCCTACAGTAAGACAGAGCAACTCATAACTCAGGATTTTGGCAAAGGATTCACTGTAGCAATAGCAGTAGTCCTTTCTGGATTTTGTATTTGTTCTTTGGTTTGATTCTCTTCACTAAAGTTCATCTGAATGTTGAAAGCTGTTTAGTTATTTCCCCCCGTATGCTTTTAAATCTCTTAGTAGAGCAAGGAATCAAAATTGGTACTCTGTCTTTGTTTAGAAATGTTAAACTCTGAACCTACATTTCAGAGTTTACTACCTCCTCAGTCTGAACAGTAGTCTTCTGACAACAAGTTTCTTGATGGACTAATTTCCACTATCTTTAGTTACAGACATTCGTGTTTTCTTGATAACCTTTTTTTGGCTTAACTGGAACCAGAAGGGTAAGAGTTGTGGACTGAATCCAGTTTATATGAATGTTATCTGATAAGAATACATAGTTATCTTCCTTAACCCTACTTCCACATTTTTCAGGGTTTTGTGACCCAACTTCAAGGTTCAGTTGGAGTGTTTTGTGACTTAAAATGACCTTTATTTATGAAAATCATCACCTTCAGGCTCCATTCAACTTATTAGACAGAAAAGACATTTATAGAATTTTGATAAAATAAATTGCATCCCGTGATGTTTATGAGATGCTTCTGTCATCAGCAGATGTGTGCAGCTTTAGGTTGCTCCCCAGTGCTTTGAATGAAGAGCTTTTCTATAGCATTTTGTTCTGGATGTCCACTGTTTTTAACTCCGGTCTCATTTATTATCTTTACAGTTCCTATTCACTCTTTGATGACATGGAAGTGTTTTTACATGGTCTTGGTCTAGAACACATTAGAGGACTATTGAAGGTAATCTTGTGTGTCTGCTATCTGTCAAGTAATCCGTGAAAGCCAAATGCAACTACTACATAATAAAAAGTTATATCACTACTAGTATATTAATTCAAGTAAATTTATTAAGCAGAAGTTTATATATAAAATGGTAAGTTAAACTACAATGGACTAAATTGAATTTCTTGATTATGTGCATTCATCACATGTGATGCTTCTAAACTAAACAACTAATTCCTTTTGTTCTTGAAAACTGAAGTAAAACAAGGAAAAACAAGTGAAAACTGATTTCTTCTGAAATCCTTTTTGATGGTAGAAACCCCTTTGTTTTATACAGGAACAAGATATAACTTTAAGAGAACTTCTGATCATGCAAAAAGATGACTTAATACAGGTCAGTTTACTACTTTAAAACTTAATTTACTTTTTTTCCTCTTTTTATAATGTTTTTAATGCCTTCTCTTTATAAATGTCTAACCTTGTAAAAATTCTTTCAGCATCTTCTGCAACTTCTTGAATTTTAATGTGAATATAGACAGACTTTCCATGAAGTGTGTAATCTAACAGATCAGTGAATGATCAGGGTTAAGCAGGAAATGGTTCTGGTTTAAAGTTTAGTTGTTACCATTTTTAGTATTTAAGTATGATTTCCCTGAAAGGAAATCAGTGCTTGGATTAGCAGTACATAATCCTGAACTACTACTTTAAATGTGGTCCTCCTTTGTGAGGTGGTAATTTTTGTTGGAGAATATGTAGAATCTCATATCCCAATCAGGTTTGTAAAACCTTACCAAAAAAAAGAGATTTTGTTTCTTTCAGTTTACTGCAGCTGGGAAGGTCTTTTACTGTTGTCCAGGACTAAGTGATGTATATTACAAAACTTCAGTTTTCAGTGGAGATAGGGTGGTTGCTTTTCCTTAGTCTTTACTGGATTTTTTCATGTGGGAAACGAAAGACTTCTGTGCTTACTGGAGGATGCTATAATAAAATCCAATTATAGGAGTATCCTTGGAACACTGTAAGTACTTCAGGCTTCAGAATTCTTCTGAGCACTCTGTGCCTGGTCTGGGATACCAGAGATGCCTCATTAAAACAGCTACTTCAACGCTGCTCCCTGCTGCTGATGTACTGCCATGTCCTTAGTGTCAGCTTTTTTTCTCCCTATCCTGGTACCAAGGAGGCACATGTTCTAGCAGGTGGAACCAGAGTTTTATTCCTTCAGAGTGGATATCAACAAGGATGTTTTGTTTGAAGTTTTGTCTTGTAACTGAGTACAGTTTAGTTGTTCTGACAGAACTCACAAGTAGCTCTGTATTCTCAGAGGGTGCATGTATAGGGAACTTTGTCAATTAAGAGATTTTTAAGAGTTCATTGTGCTGTTTTAAAGGTAAACTGGCAGGGGAAATGAACTCAAAGGAGAGATTATAAGTCAAAATAACAATTTAATAAAATAATACAATAAATACGATTATACAGACAAACAGTTGGTTTTAACCCACAAAACCCAAATGTATAACCCAGCACCCTGGGGCATGAACAGAGTGGTGTTCGTTGGGCCCCGAGTCCAAAGTAAGATGAGAGGGAAAAACCTGTTGGTGAGAGTGATGGTGCAGTCCGGTCAAGAGTGGTGATTGCAGTCCGGTCGAGAGCGGTGGTCTGCAGTCTTCCTCTGGATCCCACGAGTGGTTAAAAAAGTCCCAAGACTCCAAGATTATATGTATCCTCCAGTTCAGGCAGGAATGCCCAGTACCTCCCTCAGGGTGGGGAGTTCCACAAAGGGTGTGAGGACAGGGAGGCACCCTCCTGTCTTGCAGGCCTCTTAACACCCAGTTTATAGCCTGAGGAGTCAGGCTGCTCTGGGCAGAGGGTGTAAATGGTCTATTGATAACAGTTTCTGGGAAATGGCATGGAAGGCTATAGAATGCACAGTTTTGGGTTACACCCATCCAGTGATGAACTGGTCCCAGCTGTTCTAACTAGGACATTCATCTAGGCCTTAACTCAATCTAACCACTTCTGTTAGGGATAATAAGAAGTGCTTCCACAAATACATCAATAGCAAAAGGAGGGACAAGGAAACCATAAATTCTTTGGACCGGGGTGGGGTGGGGGGGAACATAGTCACCAAAGATGAGGAAAAGGCTGAGGTGCTTAATACCTTCTTTGCCTCAGTTTTCAAGAGTAAGACAGGTTGTCCTGAGGACAACTGGCTTCTAGAGCTTGTAGACAGAGCTAAGAAGCTGAATAGCCTCTCTGTAATCCAGGAGGAAACAGTTAGCAACCTACTGAGCCACTTAGATCCCCACAAGTCTATGGGACCAGATGGGATCCACCCAAGGGTGATGAGGGAGCTGCTGGAAGAGCTTGCCAAGCCGCTCTCCATCATTTACCAACAGTCCTGGCTCACTGGGGAGGTCCCAGATGATTGGAAGTTGGCAAATGTCATACCAATCCACAAAAAGGGCTGCAAGAAGGACCTGGGGATCTACAGGCCTATCAACCTGACCTCAGTGCCCGGCAAGGTCACTGAGGAGCAGATCATCCTGAGTGCAATCACACAACACCTACAGGATGGACAAGGGATCAGACACAGCCAGCACAGGTTTAGGAGGGGCAGGTCCTGTCTGACCAATCTGATCTCTTTTTATGATCAGGTGACCCACCTGGTGGGTGAGGGGAAGGCTGTGGATGTGTCTATCTGGACTTCAGCAGAGCCTTTGATACCGTCTTCCATAGCATACTCCTGGAAAAGCTGGCAGCCCATGGCTTGGACAGGGGCACTCTGTGCTGGGTATGGAACTGGCTGGAGGTCCGAGCCCAGAGAGTGGTGGGGAACAGTGCTGCATCCAGGTGGCAGCCAGTCACTAGTGGTGTCCCCCAGGGATCAGTGTTGGGCCCAGTCCTGTTTAATATCTTTATTGATGATCTGGATGAGGAGATTGAGTGTACCATTAGCAAATTTGCAGATGACGTCAAGTTGGGGGGGAGTGTTGATCTGCTGGAAGGCAGGAGGGCTCTTCAGAGGGACCTGGGTAAGCTGGAGAGATGGTCTGATTCCAGTGGGATGAGGTTCAACAAGGCAAAGTGCCGAGTCCTGCACAACAACCCCATGCAGCGCTACAGGCTGGGGACTCTCCAGGCAGAAAGGGACCTGGGAGTTTGGATTGACAGGAAGCTGAACATGAGCCAGCAGTGTGCCCAGGTGGCCAAGAAGGCCAATGGCATCCTGGCCTGGATCAGGAACAGTGTGGCCAACAGGTCCATGGAAGTGATTCTTCCCCTGTACTCAGTGCTGGTGAGGCCACACCTGGAGTACTGTGTCCAGTTCTGGGCCCCTCAGTTCAGGAAGGATATTGAGGTGCTGGAGCGGGTCCAGAGAAGAGCAACAAGGCTGGTGAAGGGACTTGAGCACAAGTCCTATGAGGAGAGGCTGAGGGAGCTGAGATTGTTTAGCCTGGAGAAGAGGAGGCTCAGGGGAGACCTCATCGCTCTCTACAACTCCCTGAAAGGAGATTGTAGCCAGGTGGACATCAATCTCTTATCCCAGGCAACCAGCAGTAGGACAAGAGGGCATAAACTGTTCCAGGGGAGGTTTAGGTTGGATATTAGGAAGAATTTCTTTGCAAAGAGAGTAATCAGGCATTGGAATGGGCTGCCCAGGGAGGTGTTGGATTCACCGTCCCTGGAGGTTTTTAAGATGAGGCTGGATGTGGCACTTAGTGCCATGGTCTAGTAACCACGGCAGTGTTGGATCAAGGGTTGGACTGGATGATCTCAGAGGTCTTTTCCAACCGGGTTGATTCTATGATTCTAAATATTATAAGGCAAGTAACGTGTTCTGATGTTACTGCTTTTCTGAAGCCTCAGGATCAGTGGACAGCGTCCTGGTGTGGGATTTATATGAATCCTAAAGCCCCTATTGACAGGAATTTTGTTCTTAAAGGAGATACTTGTGGCTGCTTCTCATCCCTTTGTGAGCTGCTGTGTTGGTCATGATTGCATTAAACTGCAAATCTGACTGAGCATATGTTCATATTCATCATCTCCTTTGGTGTTGTAGTCATTGGTTTTTTTTGTCCAGAGGCCACTGGGGGAAGGGGATAAAATTGTGGAGTTTAGTGAATGACTAAGTCTTACAGTTCCTTCTCCAAAGATGTGTAATTTCACTCAAAATGATAGCTTCTCTTTCAGTGTTTTAACATGTTCTAGGCTCCCTATTTTAAAGACAAGCTGAAAGTTTTGAACAAACTGAAATAGCCACCTGGATCAGCTGCTTCTGCACAGGAAGATAAAACAATTCCTGTAGATATTGCCTCTTAACTCTGCAACAGCAGAAAACAGTTCCTGGAAAATAAGTCATGCTTTGTGCGTGGACATAAATTAATTTGTGAGTCTTCAATTGAGAAGTTAAAAAATTATGTAATGCTCCTGGCTTAGTAGCACTTCAGAAGTTATCCTAAATTCTTGATGCAGTCTAGTTTTAGAGCTCTGCTAACAGTTTCTCCCCACGCTGCTGATAGAACGAATCTAATCTTTTCCCTCGTAACTCCAGAGTTGAAAGTCTTTACTGTGATGGCAGACCTTCAGCTAACAGCCAGCTATTTTAAATAGCCTGGATCTTATTACTACAAAGATTAATGATGACCTCTGATGGATGCCTCTGAACCAAGCTGCTTTGTATCCAGAGAACTGGGGAGAAATCCTGTCACTATCATGATACACTTTCCTCCATCAAACAATATCAGAAAGATGTTTTCTCTGTAAATATCTTTATCTGTATTCTACAACAGAGCCTAAACAATGAGTCTTTCAAGCTGGAATCCTTGCATTCCTTAAGCTTATAAACTGTTCCATATTGAGACAAATCTGTTCAGTATATTGGGACGTGTCTCTTCAACATTTGATGGGTTTTGTCTGATTCTGCACTACTCCTGACACTCAAATTTATTTATTTTTTTAAGCATCTCTTGTAAGATAGCAACAGAAGTGATTTTATGTCTAGGTGCATTTAGGACTGAAAAAAGGTTTCTTTCTCACATTTTATTTAATTTAGAATAAGAGAAGTCAACACCCTGTTCTCGATTTGAGATTAAATGAAATGTATAATGAAAAGTTGACACATCAAAATTCAAAATATAATCCAGAAATTTAACTATATGTATTAGATAATTACCTGGTCTGTGTGCTTCCATATCACAGTTCCAGGACTGTAACTCCTCTGCTCCCTGTCCCTGCAATAAAGCATTTAATATTTGACAGAAATGCGTCAGGTTATTAAAATTAGTGGCCACTTGGGCAAGGTGGAAGGATGTGAGAGTTTGTGCATAGCTTCACTGGTTTTATCTTTCAGGTGTTCAGGCAATCTGTTATTCACCTCTTGTGTTGTTCATGCTGGAATGTGAGTTTGGGGCTTGGATTTTCAGTGGTTGCTTTTTATCTATTTGAATAAAGAATAAAATAGATGTTCTTTGAGTTGATGTAGCTAAAATTAAAATCAAGAGTGCACATAGTCTGTTTTACAGATATAAGCAAGTTCTTGTACAACACTTGTACATTCTTAAATATATGGCCACTTCACAATAATATTCTTGTAATTTGGACTGCAGAGCATCATTGAACCAACACCAACTTAAAAACTTGCTTATCCATAAAGAAGGGCTTGTCATACTGTGATTGTCCCATGCATTCATCATTGCGTGAACAGTCAGGTTCTGTGTCACCCTCACATTCTGCAGAGATGGTCTAGAAAGGTAAAATATGTCTGCTTTCTGAAATAGTCTGGACTGATCTATCAAATTCCTATCTCTTAAGTTCCACACCTTTTACCTTGATATGCAGAACTGCTGTGGTGGTGGAAGGCTTTATCTGTGGTGACATTTATCACATTCTTTACTTCCTGAACTGTATTTTCAAGATATGGTGACCCTCAGTCAGTGATCGATTTGCAGAAGAACAAGGTACAATATCCTGATATGCTGACCAGAAAGCTGCATCCTGATTTGCTGGTTTCAGGAATAAGAAGGTGGAGTCAAAAGCACACCCAATCTTTATAAGAGTTCTGCTTTAAGTTTACTATTCAAGAGTAACTACCATTTTATAAATCAGCTTACATATACATGATAACTCCTGTAATGCTTTGTAAGCATTAAGAAAATACTGGTTCATATCAGATAGGGCTCCACAAGGCAAACGTGAGAGCTAATGAATTGAGCAAACTTACAGCTTGACATAAGTAAAGCAAATAATTTCTATGAAACCCAGACCTTTCTCTCTTAAGGCTGCTAATGATATTTGCTAAAAAGACTTCAGTGCATTTTGTTCAGGTACCCAGGATAACCTACTGGAAACTCAAAAGTTCTTGACACCTGTACTTAAATTCCCAATAAATCTTGTTGGGATTTTACCTTACCGAAGAGCTTACCTGTCTGTACACGTACGGTTTTAAAATGTTTAAAGACACACTTGTGAGCCCCTAGTTATTTGTTACCTGTGATTGGTGGAGAACTCAGAGGACAGTTTTATGCAGTCATGATGAACACTGGGTGTCACAAACGATAGTCTCAGAATAAAGCAAGCATTTCTCCAGGCACTATCTTTTTCTTAGAGTTTTGATCTGATGTGTGTTGTCAGCTGTTCATTCAAAATTCTTTCTGCAGTAGTTGCAGAAATCTGTGATACTCTGAATACTAACATCTTATAGATTTCTGAGGCTGCAGAAGGGAGCTTCAGGACCTCAGACCATCAGTGAGAGTCCTGTATGTCCTAGCATTGGAGACTCTGGGATCCTTGCATTCTCACATTCCTGAGTGGTCTACTCCCGCTGAATCCAGGTACTCAGCTGGAAAGTTAGGAACAAAGTCATACTTGGAGCTGGCATTATGAGGTTTTTCACTTTTCTGGAGGAGAATCTTAGGGCTACTAGCACCAGAAGTCCTGTCAGATGAGCAAGGAAAAGTATTGAATGTGCCACAGAAGCATTTCCCTTTAAACAAAAGGATTATTTTTTTTAATTTACTTAAGTGTTCTGCAAGAAAACTCTCAACCTAGGATTTAAATATGACTTAAAATTTAATCTGAAATACTTGATGAATAGCACAGCTGACAGTGTTTTCTATATCAGGCATTACTTGGAGAATTTTAGTTACTAGTGTTTTTTGTTTTTTTTTTTTAGGAAAATCGTGATTTTCTTCAGTTAAAAAAAGACCACTTTCTGTCAAATTCTCCAACTGATGCTGATTTGATAGTTTCTTCTCTTTCTGAGTTAATGCTGTATCACCATTATGATGATTCGTTATTTTGCTGTCCGAGATGACACTGATGATTCTGAAATAGATAAGCCTAGCATCCTAACAACACAGGGGTACTTATACAAGCTGCTATTAATTTTTCTTAATATACCTTAATCAGATTTTCTGAGTATCCTGTGCAATTTCAATTTGGCAATTTCTCAGCTCTTGTAATTCTGTTCTGCATCAGGTATTTTTTGTGGTTTTATTTTTTTCCTTTGGCACTTACATATGTTGTAATTGGTTGTAATAACTTAAAAACAACTTCTTTTGGCTCTTAATTATTTAGAAGCTCATGTAATAAATGATACTGTACTGTTATGTCTAATAAGTATTAAAAGTAAATTGTATTTGGAACTACTCTTTAAATTTAGATTGGCATTACAAATCCCGGAGATCAAGAGAAACTCCTAGGTGCTATTAACGAGCTGCAAGTGGATGAAAAAAGAATTGAAGACTTCTCTGAAATTCTGAACCTGGAATTGAGGTATTAACTGTATATCTGAGGAAATGGAAGTGAAATATTAACTATTTAAGATGACTGCATTATTTTCTGCTGCTCAAAGATAAAATTCTCTCACACCTTATCCCATGCATAGCATTCATAAGAATATGCTAGTTAGTGGATTATGAGAGCTGGTGGTAGGTGTGTTTTTTATAAAGAACATTGGAAGCATAGACAAGGCAGGCTCTGTTAGTCTTGCAATCAAATTTTTCTGATTGTAAGGTACAATAAAAAGATGTGTGGGAAGGAAAGATGCATATAATTTCTGCATAGGGCTTTAATTTTGAACTGATAAATTAAATGTTGTACATGTGTATCTTAAATCATACATGTTATTTCCATATAGATTCAGGACTTTCTTGTTGTTTTTGTCTTCCACTGGAAGCAGTTTTAACTGGCTTCTAAAATACTTCATTTTTTTATCTTACAAATTAAGCACTTCAGAAGTTGTTGGGTTTTTTTTCCTTATCATAGATTATATGTATCAGTAGATTTATAAGGAAACTTTTTTTAGGGAAGTGGTACTCCTTTAAATTTCCATTTCAACTTGATATTTTTTGCCATTGTAGTCTTTAAGCATCACCTCTGCAATACCCGTCATACTTTTAGCATAGTCTTGTGCAGTACCATGGAAGCCAGGCCTGAGCTGAGAGGTACATTGCTCAGCAACATTATTAAACTTCATCAGTTCTCTAAGCACTGACTGCTCTCTAGAGCACTCCACATCCAGCACAAAAAGAAAAATGAAGGATATAGTAAGTACAAAAGGAGTACTAGGATTTCTTAACCTCTTACCCTTTATGTGTAAATATATTTTTTTCCAGAAGACACACCTCAACTTTAGTTTAAATTCTGTGCTCATATCTTTCCTCTTCTTACTTCGCCGAACTATGGTACAATAGCTACTGAAAATAGGATTAGACAGTAAGGGTTGAGTTCCTCTTTAAGGAGTGTTTATCTCCCTCTTGACTAGTGACCTGTCAGTTGTGCTGCTACTCTCTTAGATATTCTTTCCTCTCCAAAACACTGGGGAGCACTGTTGTATTATTTAGGTGCTATGAGGCTAGACTCTGTTAGTTATGTTGTTCATTGAACCAAAGAATGTGCTTGGGTTCAAATTCAGTCTGTACATGTCACCATGTTTTGGAGGCAGCTGAATCACGCTGCAACTGTGCATTAGGTGAGAGAGTTGGGATTGTTCAGCCTGGAGAAGACAAGGGTCCAGGGAGACCTTAGAGAGGTCTACAAAGGCGGCCTTCAAGACCAGCAGAGAAGGACTTTTTACAAGGGCATGTAGTGATAGGACAAGGGGGAATGGCTTCAAACTGATGGAGGGCAGGTTTAGATTAGATATAAGGCTGGTGAGACACTGGAACAAGTTGCCCAGAGAAGCTGTGGATGCCCTATTCCTGATAGTGTGTTGCAGGGACACATTAGATGGGGCTTCAAGCAAGGTGTCCCTGCCCATGGCAGAGGGATTGGAATGAGATGATCTCCAAGATGCCTTCCAACCCAAACCATTCTATGATTCTGTGATTCTCCATCAAAACAAGTGGGTATTTTCAGAAGAGGATCCAGGTGCAAGCTTGTGCTGTAAGACTGAAGAACTGAAGTTTCAGCATGCAAGAACTAACTAACTAACTAACTAAATAAACCAATATGATATCGATACACCATAAATAACTTTAACAACATCTGAGTCATTCCTATTAAAATAGAGACTTTTAAGGGGACTTTGCTCAGTTTAAGCTTTATCCATTTTTAAGTTAAAATGTGTGGGTTTTTTAGATTGTTCTGTAATAGTGTTCAATATACACATTCAAACAGAGCAGCTTAAAAATTTGAACAGAGGGAGCAAGTGGAGAAATACAAAAAAGTATCCATTCACTGCATGTGTGGCCAAATACAATAAAATACCCAAATGGTATCTGGTGCAGTCTCACATGCCAGTGACATATGTAATTCCTAGTACAGTGTGGGTTAAGATCATAGGAAGTTCTCTAAAGCAGAAAATAATTGATTGATTGAAGATGGAAGTACACAAAATATGACAGCATTTCAATTATGGCAAGGACTGTGCATAGTTTTTTAGAAAATAGTTTGACATGTATTCTAGGAATCTGACCTTGAGACTAAAATCATAGACTATGTTTACATGCTATTATATAAAGATTTTACTTCCCACTTGTTCAAAGTCATTCTGTGAGAAGGAAAATCAGTCATTAGGTCATAGAAAAACTAACATAGTAGAAAATGTTGAACTGATTGATTATAAACTCAGAGAGTGTCTAGTACTGTTTAGCCACTGATGTTTTGACAGCCATTAATTCTTTTTAAAAGTGATAATTTTTTGAAAACATTTCTAAATATAAGAACAAATCACTGCAGTGGGTATAAAATTATATGAAAATGGGCCAGAGGGGGGTTTAAACTGTTAAGAAGTGAAGTGGTATGAAAAGAATAAATGTACTTCTTTCTTTCTTTCCCCCTCCGAAATTGAAGCCCATGACACTCTTTATATTTGCTGAGAATCCTTCCAGAATTCCAAAAAATAGTTTCCTTTATGATGAAACACAGAAGGTGCCATAGCTGATCCCAGACAGCTAAAAAGTTATCTTTCTGAGTAGAAGGAAATGTTTGCGATTATGGCTTGACTGTAGTAATGTGAGAGAAACTTTGAGACTATCTCCAGATGTTTAGCATTTGGGTTTTTACTCAAAATACTCAGTTCAGTTACATTGTTCTGAAACAAATAATAGTTTATTTTGTAAAGATGTACTAATGGGCATTCTTACTTCCCCATCTTCATGAAAACCATGAGCAGTCTTGGTTTTAAACCTCCAGCATACCTACTAATGCATCTAGATATTTCTGTTTTAAATGTTAAAGTCTTAACAGTTCAGCACTGTTGCAAATCACAGACGTCCTGAGCAGTGGTTGAAACTTTACTCACTAATGATCCTGTGCCAAAGTTGAAGGAAAGCCTTCTATGACACTCTATGGGCTAAATTCCAGCTCTGTTTAGATACTTGCACTGCACTGGCACGTAACTTAGTTTACTGGTTTGGCAAATTTCATGGATACGTTTTTGCCCTCAGAAGCAAGTAAGATGGTGTGTAAGCATGTTGCATTTAGGTTTAATAGCAGATTGCCCTAGGGAATAGAGGAGTGTTGGGATCTGAATTAGTTTATTCAGATCCTATGGATCTGCAGAAGAGGAAGTTCTGCAGTAAGAACGTATAAATAATTATCTCTTGTTTTGGCTCTACCTGTTATTCACCCAAATGGCTCAGAGCTAATGGAAACTTTTCTACTGGAGATACAGGCACTTCTCAGGAGTTTTTCAGGGCTTGAGAGGTCACTCTGTAAAACCAATTGGATGATCTTCCTTGCCCTCTTTACCTCTTCCTGGTCAATAGCAAAATATTTCTGACCAGCACCATGACTTACAACTAAAATTCTCTGATGCTTCCAGTAATGTTGAGTCAGTGACACATGGAACCTCTAGAATCCTAATGTTGAAATTAATCCCTTTTCTCCACTCTTTGAAAATTAGTTTGATTAGAGTTGTCTTCCTGTTTGTATTTGAGCACCAAGTATAAATGTTCTTCCAAATAGGTAACATCAGATATTTTAGGCCTTTGAGGTACATGTTTCGAGATCCAAGGGCCAAGCCAGTGTTATTGAATTCTTATCTTATTACACTGTGCTGGAGACTAAATTACTCTAAACCTATTCATTTCAGTCTTAGCTCTAAAAGTAGAAAGCAGGGTTTTTTTCCTCCCATATCTGCCTCAAAAATGTAAGCTGCAGGTCAGAAATATTGATATGTAGCATAAAATTGAGTACAAGTTCTCTCTTTTTGGTGTTGCAAGACTTAGATTTGTGCGCACACACACATAGGAAAATAGTGTTGCAGTTATTATGCATAGTGAGTTACAAAATTACGCAGCAGGTAATGAAATATTGCAATTGATAATACAGTCTGATGAGAGTTAGAAGTGGAGGTTAATAGAATGTTTCTGAAAAGCTTTTGGGTGACACTTTTTCGGCTTTTAGTGTGTCTTACTAGCTAAATATTCCAAGTAACTTAGTAATTTATTGTTCTTCCAAAAAAAAGGGGGGAAGAGGGGAGAAACAGAACAAACAAGGAAAAAGAAAACTTGCTAAGATATTAAAAGTAGTCTTTAACTACTCTGTTAAAATGACATTGGGTTTTTTTTGTATGTGATGAAACTGACTCACTAGCCAGTGTTGGAAATGCATATGTAATATTTGGCTTACAAAAGGTGCAGCATTTTGACGAATAACAAAATTTTGCTTTATTTTTGTAGTGAAGATGAATTCTACAAGTTTCTTCAGAAGCTGAATAAAGAGTGTAGTAAGCTGATCGTTCCTGTGCAGACCATGAATAAGCATTTTCTCAAAAATTCGCACAAGGTATTAAACCAAAGAAGAGAAGATTGATTTAGAATCTGTTATTCTATCTTTTAAATTGAAACCTATGAACACTTATCAACTGTCTTGGTTATTATATAGCTATATAGAGCTCTCCAATGCTCTTTCTGTAAAGGACACTTTTAAAAATAATTTATTTCAAAGAGTTAAGCCACCCAATTAAAGGAGATAAATTTGTTTCTTTATGTTTCTGCTGATAGGAGAGTTAATGTGACAAAAGTTTTCAAGAAACGCTGCTAAAGAGTAGTAGATTATGTTGTGCATAAATCATACAATTAAAACCCAGCATAAATGCAGTTATAAACTTTTTCTGATGCTATCTTTTATGATACATTAACTGAAGAATATTAAACTATAATCTAAAATTATGTAATTATGGCAAATAACTGTAACTATTAACAGATGGTACTGCAGTGGGCACCGACTGAAACTTACATTGAACTCTGCAAAGATTTGGTTTGCAGTGTTAAGAATCTGGGAGAAGAAGTTGCCAAACTGAAGGACCTGGTAGTGAAGGTGAGTGTGTGTAAGGCTGTTAAGTACTGTGTACAGGTTTCTAATGCAACCTCAGATGTGACACCATCAGGGAAATGTTTCATACGTTGGTGTGCCACAGGCTCTTTAGCCTTAGCTTGGGCTGCATCCACCTTTCCCCAGACAGAATGAGAAATAATCTGGAATATTCCACAGCAGTGTGGAGATCCTCCAAAGGAAGGCATGATCTACCTTTTTCTTTCTCCCTCAGGAAAGAATAGTGGAATGTGTCCCTGCACTCTTGGGCAACCATTGTGGCATAAACGCTATGCTGAATAGTGACACTCTTTTTAATTAAGGAATCTTTTGTTTGGAATTATTGACTCACAAGGAAGATACTAAGGTTTTATAGATTGAATGGGAGGCATCCCAGATAAGTCTGTGGAGTGACAAAAGAAGAGGGTGGGAGAGGTCAAGGCTAGATGTTAGCACCATATCAGTCATTCTCAAACCAACACAGTGACACACTCTTGTCAGATGGGGTCATTTTAAGTAATAGGGCAGTAAAAGGAACGGCCGCTGCGGTAGAGTAAATGGAGCATCAGTGTCAGAAAGGAATCTGTTGCTGAACGAAGCCATGTGGAACTCAGACCTTGAGTATAATGCTACTAATGCAATTTCCTGTAGTTTAAGTAAATTTAATGTAATATAACAGCCTTCTCCCAATAAATCACTTAACACCAAATATATTAAGAGGGAGAGATTGTGGCAAAACACTTATTAGCCATTTGTTTCATTTTTTGCATATGCAATAATCAATTGTGTATATATTTGCCTCCCGTGTGTGTGCAGGCTAGTTATAAGGGCTGGGAGAGATCTGAGTTAGGTGCCACTTGATGTTGCTTTTATCTGTGCCTAAGGTTTTATAGCTATCAAGATGAAGCATAATGTCTTTGTATCCAGTGAAACAACCTTCTAATTGCTTAAAAAATACAATTTTTGTTTTTTAAAATCCTATTATGTTTTATGAATTTCAGTTGTGAAGGCTTTAATACAAAACATTTTTGTGCTACTTAATTTATGATGAGACACTTTGGAATGTAGAGCACCCAAATGTTTATTATGAAAAGTGCAAATTTAAGTGAAACAGTTAAACCACTTATATAAAATGTTTGTATAAACTCCCTTAAAGTCTTCAGTATTGTTTGCTAAGGTTAGTCATTACAAGACTTTGTCAGCAGTACATGTCTGTAGCATATAATTTTTGAAAGTACAGTAAATAAGATGGCCTTCTAAGCATTATGAAGTAAGGTAGGAAATCAGAACCTAACCCTGCTGCCCTTCATGACAAGGCTCTACTCAGCTTCAGCATGTATTTGAGCAAGCACTTGTAAGGTACTTTCCATGGTGCCTTTAATTTCGACAAAGGCTAATGTGTTACGTATTTAACTTGCTCTTTTAATAAACAGTTGTTTTAGTAATTAAATGGCAAAAGTTCTGGTTAAAACATTTGACTATTGGAGTTCAGTTGTTTTGTTACTAGGTTTTTGTAGCATCTATTAGCCGCGTTTTATTCCTGAGTAATTAAGTTTGTAAATGAACAGTTTGTTTTTCTAATATATATTACAAAATGGTTGAGTATTAGATAAGATAAAGGTTTACACACTCATCTATTTCAGTTGAAGTAGGACAGAGACAGAAAGAAATAATATCAAATCCTAGATGCATGCGAATTCTTAGGACTGGGTACTTTATAACCCACTTAATAAAATACTTCATAAACTTTCACACTAACACTTTTTTTGTTGTACTTTTTATATGAACTTAACATCTGCCTCAGCATGAACAGAAGAATGAACCCAACCAAGTGAAACTTCCAAAAAAAGCAGCCACCTTGGAAAAAAGATTAGTAAAGATGGGAGGGGTAACATTGCTTGGATTTGGTTTTTTCTTCTTTATAACTAAATTAGTGGTAAAGAAAACCTGAATTTAGGTTTAGTGCTGTTTCTCATCATATCTGTAGTAGTATCAAGTATGTACTTTGATCTAGAAATAAAGTTATTAAAAAATTAAAACTGTTACTTAAGAGTATCTTATGCATTTATTTTGAAAATTTTTTGTATACAATGTAGGTCTAAAATCCTGTCGAAGCTGCTTTTCTTTTTTGGCTTAAAGTTGTGATTATTGCTTACTAATTACTAGTTTCATTTTTTTTACTTTTAACTGTTCGGAGATCAACATAAGCAAATTCTTCTGATTATATCACATGTTTGTATTTAAAATTATAATGCAGATGTGTTTTGGGGGTTGGGAGGGTTTAAAATATTTTAAGTATCATATTCAATGTTATATTGATAAAGATCTTTTCTCTTGCAGAGAGATATACTTTTTTTTTTCTTTTCGCAATCAAGAGGACTGTGGAGATCTTTTTACACATTGCCTAAAAAGTAATTTCCCACTGAACTATGATATTCAAATTATGCCTGAAATCTGTTTCCTTAGGGATACTCACTTCTATTAAGAGTTTCATTACGTCTATTAAAAGGATTATAACAGTGCTTTGCTGTAAGAATGCAGGCAACTTAGAAGGCATAGCAGCATGTTTTTTCTTGGTCTGGTCTTTCACTACGAATTTTTTCTTAATATTTTTGTCCACTTAAAAAGGTGTTTGTAATCCCAGAGTGAAGCATTAATAACTGGTTTTGATCTGCTCTACCAAAACAGCTATGTTGGAAAAAGGGGAATTGGTGTAAGTGAATTCAAATCAGTTATGTTTTTGCATACTTCAACAAACATCTTTAAAAATGCAAAATATTTTGGAAGGGACTTTCTTCTATCAAAATGAAACAAAAGGAGTCTAAATAACCATAAACCTGGATGGGTGTGTTACACTTTAGGTCTCTGAGTTTTCAGAAATGTTGTGTGGAATCTTTGTCTTTGGTATTCTCTCCAGAGACCAGTAAGGAGAAGATAAAAACTTGAGTGCTATTCCAATTGCTGTAACTGCAGTTTTCTGCTTTTTTTTTTACTGCATTGGGTGTTAGTATGTTTCCTTGTTACTGCAGTTGTTTTACCTCCTTTCCTCACAGGTTTCTCTTTCAGTGCAAGGAAAATCCTACAGAGTGATGAGGTTAGAGGAAAAAAGAACATAAGTTAGGATTTTTTTTCTGTTCTGCTCCCCATTTTGGGTTAGAGGGGATAAGCTGTATTCACCACCACCATCTGCCAGCAGAAGTGGAAGTGAACATACTATCAGCCTGAACAAATGAAGTATAAAAAAGGAAATGTTTGAAAAATAGTCCTCTGTTTCTTCATAATACCTTAGAATTAATCCTAAACTAATAAGATACATATTGCGAAAGGAAGAACCTTTTATATATGCACCACTCTTTCTCTGATTAGCTCAAAATACAGTTCAAATGCAGTTGCCCAGCGATGGGATGGCTCACAGGTGTTACTAGAACTTTGACAGCTAATGTCTTTTAGGTGTTTCTGTTGCATGAAGTTGTTGGGGTTTTGGGGGGGGGATGGATAGTGGAGGGGGAGTAGGGAACCATGTTGCTCAGACTATGTTTCCAACATGTACTTTTTTATTAGTTAAGTGGATTTATTTCAACCACTAGTAAGATTTCTGTGATACTGCACTTGAAGAGATTCTGCTACTTAGCCCTTACTTCTCCACTTCAGTGACAATTTGCATTAACAAAGCCAGTGCAAAGGACACTGAACAAAGCTTCCACTTCAAGAGATGTGTTTCCTGTCACTGGTAGATCTTGATATTTGAAACAGTACAAATTTAAACTATTTTTTTCCATGAATTTTAAGTAAAGATCTGGTCATACGGAGGGTTTTTAAGCTAAACTTGGAGGTCTTGCCATTGAACAGAAAATCTGCTCTGGAAAAGTTTTATCAGTGTTTAACTAAATTATTATGCCTTTGGTGTAAAATAATTATGTGGGAAAAAATAATGCATGATAGTTGCTGCTGATAATTTTTTTCTAATTTGAGAGTTACAATAAAATATTCTTTGCAGAAATGAGTCAAAGGTCTGAACTCTAGGAGACCTCCAAAACACATTTGGAAGAAGATGGTCCTTTTAAATTATCTTACAGATCACCTGTTTCAGATGCTTATAGCCATGACTGCAAACACACATGTGAACATCATTTGGGTTAAACATAGGCTTTGTGCCAGCAGCATTCCTGGCATCGTGCACCATTCAAGAATAGTGTTCAAAACGTCATAAACCACTCACAAGAAGTAGGGTCTTGGAGTAACCACTTTAAGTTGTATTTGTTAATTGGTTGATCAGGAACTGCATTGCATGAAGAGGACATGCTAAGAGCTAAATGAGCAAAGATTATTTTGACCTAGCATATAATAAAAAAAGATTAAAATTGTATTTACTTCCTCAGATTCCAAACTCGGGCTTAAAACAATGAGTTTCAAGATCCTTTATTCACTTCCATGTTGTTGCAGTGCCTCTTTCAAATTCTCTGACAAGGTATCGCAATATGGTGGAGATAGGGCAGGGAGCAAAGAAAAAGATTCCTTCAACATCTGGCCCCTGAGCTACACTGTTAAAATTCTCACCCCCACCAGCACTGAGGGAGCCTTCAGATGAAAATGCCCCTGCTGAGACACCTCCTTCTGTAAATCATCAAATTGAAGTCATTATCCCAGAACAGTGAGAATACAATGATTTGCACATCTATGAGGGGATTGGAGGAGAATGCTAAAGAGCTTTGCATGTATTAAGCAAGTAAGATGCGCAGCCCTGCTGGTATTGTTCTCCTCTTACAGAAGTGCAAATTGAGGTGTGGAGGATTGAGTGAATTGGACCTGGGGCCAAATCCTGTGGATACCTAGGATGAAGATGCAGCGAGGTTCCTACTTGCAATGCCATTGGATACCTAACTTGTCTTGATACGGATGACTATTTATACAATGGTCTTTTCTGAATCTTTAAACTGTTATGTAAAATGAGGGCCTTGGGTCATCCTGTGAAGATCTGAAAGAACCTAAAGAATTTTTTTTTTCTAATTTTCCTGTCCAAGACACTCTGCGATTTGTGTGTGTTGTGTCTCTCTTCCTATGCTTTGGGATTTGCCCCGTTCTTTAAATTTGACTTGTGGAGTACATAGTCTGTCAAAAGGCATTGCCCAGCTATTCCTGTTGGCTACCAATTGCAAGTAATAAAGAGTAGTTTGGGGTATGTGTAATTCTTAAATTGAGAAAGAGTGATTTTTTTTTTTTAACCACATTCTCCATTTACTTAAGCACGTGTTTGGTTTTTCTTCTTTTATTTCATCCAAGTGCTTTGTTGAGGACAAGACTAAAAATGTGCAGTTTATTATTTTTCGTCTTGTCATCTTTGAACCACTTCAGGTGTTCCCCAAAGCTGTCCCTTGCTCATAAGTGTGAATAGGTGTTTGCTTACATTTGCCTTCTCTGTTCCAGCAGTTCTGCAAAAGCTACAGGTTGTCTTTCCCAAATAAAGCTGCTGTGTTAATAGTAAAGTACTACAAATGTTGCTTTGGATCTTCATGTACCAATAAGAAACCATGAAGGTCTAACAGGTATCATAACTGCAGGCTTCTGCCTTTAAAGGCATGTACTGTCATTTCTTTTTTCTGGAGGCATGATGGAAGTGTATATATGAAAACTTATATTTCCCTATTCTAGAAACAGGAATTTCCAGGTAATGGGGCTCTGAATTGATAAGCAGTGAGATATGAAAAGGGGTATTACTGACATAAATTAATAATGTGATGTGTATCCTTAACAGATTTAATAGCAGTTAAATTACTTCAAATTTGTATCCCGATTCAGATGGTGGTTTCATATAATATAGAGCCATAGTCCCTGGAAGTGGGACTTACCAGGGATCCCTCTGGGTAAGGATTTTCAGTTCTTTTAAGCTGTGCTACTGGCAGTGATATATATGGGAAGATGTATTCTACTTAAGAGTTTAGTAGGGTTTTTTCTTACTAATTTTTCTCAGATGAGCCTTCCATGCCTTCAGCTTTCCTGAAAACAGTCTTTATTCGAATGTAGAAATACAGGTTTAGCTACATTATTTTCACTATTGTATTGAAAAATCTCAGCTTGATTTCATAAGGTATGCAGAGAATTGGGCTTTCAGTGTTCTGGCTACTCTCCTGTCACCTGTGTTGCTCCTGTATGGCATGATTTCTTAACTGGATGAGAAACTGCGTGCACATAATACTTGTTGAAGGCACAGCTTTCTAGATCCAGTCTGTGCTTGCAGCAGGGGAGGCCAGCAGCCTCTCGAGGGGTGTCAGGAACCAGCAAACCCTCACGAGACAGTCTTCCACGAACTTCTTCAACATGAGCCCTTCTCACAGGCTGCAGTTCTTCACAAGCTGCTCCAGCCTGGTTCCCTCACATGGGGCGCAATCCTTCAGGAACAGACTTTCAGTGTGGGTCTCCCACAGGGTCACAAGTCCTGCCATGAGCCTGCTCCAGCGTGGACTTCTCATTGGGTCACAACATTCTTCAGGTATCCACCTGCCCTGGTGTGGGGTCCTCCATGGGCTGCAGGTGTATCTCTGCTCCACCACAGACCTTTGTGGGCTGCGGGGGCACAGCTGCCTCACCATCGTCTGCACCATGGTCTGCATGGGAATCTCTGCTCCGACAGCTGGACCACCTCCTCCCCCTTGTTTTTCACTGGCCTGGGTGTCTGCACAGCTATTCCTCTCACATAGTCTAACTCTCTGTTTGGCTGCAATTGCTGTTACATAGAGGTTTTTTCCCCATTACTAAATAATTATCCCAGAGGTGTTGCCACCATCACTGATAGGCTTGGCCTTGGCCAGTGGTAGGTCTGTCTTAGAGCCGGCTGGCATTGGCTCTGTCAGACCTATGGGAAGCTTCTGGCATTTTCTCACAGAAACCACCCCTGTAATGTCCCTACTACCTAAATCTGGCCATGAAAACCAAATATGGTTCCCCAGTCCTCCTTCCAACCTTGCCTGTTCTGCCGTGTATAATGAAAGAGTGGTTGATAAAAATAATGGATCCAAGGTGAATTTGTGTAGGACCAGCACAAAATAGAGCTTGGAGAAGGAATCTGAACAGCAATAAAGCTGGAATGCAGATGTGGTAGATGGGTTATGGAGAAGAAAAGGACATCATTGATGAGTTGCTGGTGCAGTTGTTACAGGTAAAGGATCTCCAGTTAGTACAGAAGGGTATCTCAGAAATTCTAATAGGTCACCTTTTTACTGCAAGCCTGAGACGGCTGGTAGCAGTGAGGACTGTAGCCTCTGCTTGCAGGGATCTAAAATACTGCTGGAATTTGCTGTCCTCTCACTGGCGTTTCTGTGCCCTGGTAATTGATCCAAGGTATATCATAAACCTAAGAAATAAGTTGGCCAGCAGCTAAAAATTGGAATGTGTTTATACACTGGTAATACTTTATCAAATAGATAGAGTGCCCATCTGTTGCTTTTAGGACTTAGTAGGAGCTGTGGTTGCCTCTGGGCAAGTACTACTGCTGGAGAAGCATTAACGTGCTCCAAGCTTCAATTGCTCTTACTTCGAAGTCTTTGCAGCTTTTGACATTGTGTGTAGGTGGGTGTTGGGTGTTGATTTCTGGGGGTTGTTTGGGTTTTGGGGTATTTCTTTAAATTGATAAGTGGGTGAATGTTACCACCTCGAAAGTTGATATAATTCTGCCTTTTTCTTTCTGAAAGGGAATGTGCTTGCATCTAGTTCTGTGTCTGATCTCGAGAAGTTGTACCAAGGAACAGAGCAGACTGATGTCTCCTTTGCACGCAGCCGTGGCTGTAATATGCTGCGTGAAGAACAGCTCGCAAAGGATGCTTCCTAGCTTGCTTTTCTGGGATTTTCACTTGGAGTTGATAACTGAACTCCTCTTTTAGGAACTAGAGCTGTGTAGTCCCCAACTCTCTTAGCAACCTTCGGCGTTTGTCTTTGTTTCAGCCAACGAGGGCTGTCTCAGAACTGAAGCATCTCCAGCTTGGTAATGATAGTT